TGTGTGTGTGTGTCGGCAGACTGTGGAGCCTGGCAGCCAGGTATCTGATCATTCCTTCATCGTGTCAGAGGGCTGGTGGAGCCCCGGCTTGGTGCTTGTGCATAAACCCCGAGCAGATGGTGTGAGAGCAGCACTAGTGCTCGTAGGCACGCCCCAAAGAAGCCTGCCTGAATCAGAATTAATAGTAATCCTGGTAATGTTTGTACATATGGGGCAAATATACAGCTCTCATTCACCCCCCCGCCATAGACGTTTTCCCCTTTAACTGCTTTTCAACATTGAATAATCGTCAATGCAATTCGACATTTGTTGCAACAATTTACAAAAAAAAAAAGACTGTAAACAGATTTTTACAAATACTGTCAATAGAATGAATATATTAAATGTAAAATGTGTGACTGCATCAGTCCTCACCCCCTTAAAGTCACTATTTAGTAGATGCCCCTTTGGCTGTAGTTACAGCATTAAGCCTGTGTGGACAGGGCTCAATCAGCCTTGCACATCTGGACACTGCAATTTACCTAATTTCCCTGCAAAACTGTCAGGTTGCATTGGGGATTGTGAGCGAAAAGCCTCTTTCAAGTCCAGCCAAATTCTTAATTGGGATGAGGTCTGGACTCCAGAACGTTCACCTTTTTGTCTTTAAACCATTTCTGTGTAACTTCGGCTGTATGATTCCAAAGTCGCAGCTTGTCCCTCAGAGCTTCCCTGTAGTTTGCTGTATGTATTTTACTCTTTGCCTTTACAAGTCTTCCAGGGCCTGCTGCAGAGAAGCCTGCCCACAGCATGATGCTGCCACCACCGTGCTTCCCAGTAGGCCTGTTTGTGATGATGTTTGGTGTCATACATGCTGTCTAGTCTGACGGCCAAAAAGCTCAGTTTTGGTCTCGTCAGATCAAAGCTTCTTCCAGCTGGCTTCAAAGTCTCCTATAATAAGTTGTTTTCAACAGTTGGTTTCTCTTTGCCAGCTTCCCGCGAAGCTTTGATCGGTGACGAACGGGCAACAGTCGATATTTACACAGTCGCTCCCATCTCAGCTGCTAAAGCTTGTAATTCCTTCAGACGAGTCATTGGTGTCTTAGTGGCCTTCCTGACTAAATGTATATTTTACATATCTTTCTTGCAGAGTCCCTCAGTCTTTGGGGTTTGCGTGCTGATTTACACATGTGCTACATTCCTTCCATTTCCTAATGATGGCTTTAGCTGTGCTCAAAGGGACATTCAGTGACGTGGAAATTTCCATGTGTCCCTGCCCTAAATTATGCTTTTCAGTAACCTTTTTACGAGGTTGCTTGAAGTGTTCTTTTGTCCTAATGCTGCAGTTACAGCCAGAATTCACCAGTGACAGGAGTTTCCACATGCAGGTGTCTTTATACTACAATCACCTGAGACACATTCGCCGCACTGAGACGATCTCCAGTTCACTAAATGTGTGACTTCTAGAACCAGTTGGCTGCAAATGTGTTCAGTTGTGACCTAAACGGGGGGAAGACTTATGCAATGTTTTACATTTTAGCATTTCAATTAATTGACCTTACTGTAGAAATCTGTTTTGACATTAATTTGTCTTTTTTTGGTAAATTATTGTCAAAAAACCTACTTAAAATTCTCATGATTCAATATTAAAACGCAATAAAAGGAGACAACTTTGATGGAAGGTGAATACTTTCTATAGGCTTTGTACGTTCTCTGCTCATAAAGATGTGATGATAGTAAACTTTTCTTCAGTAATTAATTTCTCTGTTCCATATGCACAGTTCTGTAAGGAGCCACATTTTGTTTTTGATCCGTCTTCATGGAAGGAAACTACGAACATGATAATTGTGCTTTTGAATCCCTTGTTAATAGAGTTAAAGCCTGACAGAGAGGAGAAAAAAAAAAGACATCTGGTAACTAACACGATCACCACAGATGCCTTGTCCTTCATGTACCAAACTACACAAATCCAAAAAGGAGAAAAGAGAAATAATTAAGCTAATGAGCAACAAAACCTTCAAACAATGGGAAAGGCCATTGGGAACCAAGAGGAGTGCTTGAAGCAGGCACACAATGCTCGAGACTAACAAGGATGAGAGTGAGATTGTGAAAAGCCCTTGGAGAGCTTTGTCACTTCTGTCAGTCACACATCAAAGACATCTTGCCATTAATTTGTTTTGATCGTACGATTTAACAAACTGTCATGCAAAACAGCTATTGAACTTCGCTGTGCTTTTACTGTAATTCATGAACTCATTAATTTTTGGGGGGTTTCAAGATGCAGCTTTTAACAGATTCTGTTACGATGTCTGAAAACACGGCTACATGTAGAACAGCAACAGGTTTATTTTGTCCACATATGGAGGACTGACTTGCCTTACAGTAAAAATTCTGGAAGCCTCAAACTGCAGGCACTGACAGCTGAGTGTTTGTGAAAAGAGCTTGGAGCTAGGGTTTTGTTTTGGTGCAGCTACCAATAACAACTAAAATGCAAATGCACTTTTAAATGTGTATCATATTTGAGCAAATCTGAAAGTCCAAATTAAATAAGAGGACGAAGAGAAATGGTGCACCTGAACAATTACCTGCGAGTGTGAGACATACAGTAGCTGCAGGGTAAATTGGAGAGCCCAAGAGGAGATGCAACCAAAACCCCGCAGAAAAAAAGAAAAAAAAAAAGAGATGAGGAGGTAAGAGTGAGAAAGTGAGAAAGAGACAGCGAGGATACAACTTGTCTGAGCGTCTGCAGCAGACGAGGGGGAGACGACGGCGGCGGTCTGTGAATGTGAGAGAGCGCTATGTAACCTTATCTCTGCAGGACAGATAGTTTTAATACTATCATGTAGCAGCATGCATCGCAAAGTCTTTACTCTGGAAATTGACAGCAATCAGTGAAAAAAAAGAAGTCTGTTTCCCAGCATTAAAACTTGTCAGGATTATATAACGGGCTTCACGAACCCCTTCCTGTTTAGCCAGATGTTGCCTAGCAACACCCATCACAGAAACTCTTAGGGTCAAGAACTGACGCTTGAAATAGAAAAGCGAGTTCGTAATAAGCAGCAACAGGTGCAAATTAACAGCTGATAATTTTAGTTTGATTACATATCGATTCTTACATTTTATTGGAAACAAAGGGGAAGCACAAGCAGCGATGAGCAACAGTTCATACCTATATTCATTACTTATTTTTTCAATAGCACAAGGATACTTTGCTCATTATTATTATTTTTTTTTTTTACACGTGGTGGTGCCTGCTTGTTTTATGATGCATTTTATTGCCATATAGCTTAGACCTTGTGGCTCCGATACACAACATATTACTCATTACATATTTATATTGCACAAAGCCACTCGCTCTCCTTTTTCCCCTGATATGTGGTTCTTTCATCTGTCTTAATGATATTTTTATCTTGTCCTGTCATAGCTTCTGTCTCAGGTAAGAATGCGGTTTCATTGCACTGTATTGTGTGTGGAGCTACGATGACAATCATGTTGACTTGGCTTGACCGTGCTTTTGCTGTTTAAGTTCCCCTCTACAGCTCAGATAGTGTACAGACTGACATTTGTAATATATTTTTATATGTTTTCTAATGTGTTATTGTTGCTCTTTTTTGTCAAAGAACCTCCAGCATTAAAAGATGCCATAGGAATAAAGTTTATTACTATTGTTATTGTTGTTGTTGGATGGTTTTTGTTGGCACGTGTTGGCGTCTGGTGGCTCTCGGCTCTTGCGTCATCCGTCACAATCACACAATATGCGACTTTTTCGATAGCATCTCTGACTTGCGCAACGCTTTCTTAAATAACTGTTCAGGGTAACACGCTGCACTGAGAGGAGGTCAGTGTCGGGGTGTAATGTCATCCCGCTGCGCTTTGGGGTGGTAACAGGGAAGTGATATGGCTGCCTGACAGTGGCACCCACGCATAGTAATTGGTGTGACAATCAAGCCACAAACAGCCCTTTGGCCGCTGCGGTAGAACAAGTGTCAAGGAGAGAGACAAAGGCACCTCAGGGGGGCATAAATGTGTTGTTTAATATGTCCTGTGCTGTATTCGGCTGTCTGACAAATGTAAGAGGGGACAGTGACGCTGTAGAGTTTGTTGAGCTGTAGCTCAATTTCAAACATGGCCACTTTTTATATGTTCAATCTGCCATGTAACAGAGTACACACATATGAGTCAAATATGTCCGTCTGCACCAACAGCAGCCTCAAGAACAGAAAGTTTAAACTCATTTGTTATCGCTGCTGGCCTTAAAGGTGCAATATTTTTAACATTAACAGCATGATTACAAACAACGACATGGTGTGTGAAGACTCAATGGAGTAATGAAGGAGAATGAAGCCACACTGCCTCTTTGTGTGTTGTAATCTGAGCTTGTCTGCTCTACGTTGGTTCAGTCGTGCATGCATGCTAGTGCACGTGAGTCCCTCCCTTTGAAACTGTTGGCCCTCTGCGCACTTATAAGCACACTTAGTGACCTTCCACACTGCATCGTGAAAGCAAAAGTGCAGTCCAGCATCAAGCCTGTACCCTCAAAGACAAACGTTATTTCTCTTGTTGGTCCTTGAAGGGGCTTCTTTTGCTTTAAGTGACTGATGGGGAATCCCAGATATGTATCATCATCATCTTTAAAACTGACCCAAGACTCTCAAGGCTGCATTATAAGAAATCTCTGAACAGAGGAGGGGATCTGTGACAATCAGCTATCAGTCACTTGTAATGCAGCCGTGAGATTTCTTCCTTGATTCCTCCCTGACCTGGCATTTTTACAACCTTGATTGGCAACCTGGCAGCTCCACAACCATCCACATCCTGAGGCCTCCAAGTCTTTTGTTGGTAATGGGCCATTAGCTGTGGCTTTTGGGGATGATAATATTTATCCGGGATTCGCCATCAGTCAGTTGGAACTAAAGAAGCCTCTTGGGTGAGAAGTCCTGTTGAATTCCAATGAAGCTCTTTGGAGGACTTTGTTGGTTGTAAAGTGATTATAAACAGAACCTTTAACCAGTGGAGTGCCTTCTCTGCTGGCCTAAACTATCAGAATCACTGACTTATGTTGTAATATCTTCCCATTATTCTTTTAACTAGCTGGGCTGTGGCGCTTCCAGCAGCATATGTTTATACTAGAGCTTTTAGCCAATCATATTTCAGCCACCATGTGTTGCCGTGGTCTAAGAAATCTGCCCTGACACCTTCAGAATCAAAAGTGCAGGCGCCTGTAGCTTAAAATGCATTGCAATGAAACTGTTGCTTTGACCAATCAGATCTAGAGTTGGTGGTCTCAGAGCCAGCTGGTTGGCCTACGATGACGTCAGCACTTTCACGTCCTCTGATTGGACGGTCAGAGAGCTTAGCCAAAGCTAGTGATTCATACCTGAGGCGATCTGCACAAGCTATAACTATAAAAGTATTGTTTTGTTCTTTTTAAGTTAAGCAAGCGGACATTCTCAGCCTTAAAGCGAATTAAAACTTATGCCAGAAACACGACTGGACAGACCTGACTTCAGCATTAGCCTCCATGATAGAACAGGACTCATTGTTGGAAGTGAAACACATGGATTATCTGCTCAATAGAGTGACTGAACTGTTTATGATGAAAGAAAGGAGGATGGAGTTTGTGTTCAAATAATCACAGATATATATTTTTGTCATTGTGCTGGGTTGATATTGATGCTCCTGTTGGATGTGATGTAATTGGTGTAGCTGTGGCTGCAGTGAAAGGAGACTGGTTGAATTGTTTTAAGGGGTTTCTTGATTTACTGATGGCATTCATTCTTGCTACATGAGATACCTGTCTGCAGTGCAACGTCCTGTTATGCTGCCTCTCTGCATAGTACTGATGGTTTTTATAGCTGTGGTGTCATAATGTTGGTGTTAAGAGGTGGTTTGATTCAGGTAGGACACCACTGAAGGCCTGGGAGAAACTACATGTGCAATAGTGGGTGAGAAGTTGGGTGATGGTTTTCAGGCTGGTAGGCTCAGGTGAACCAAAGTTATGCTAATCAGGGGTTAGGTAATGAGTTAAATAAAAACAGGAACATGATACGTTTAATCAACACCAGCTTTCTGCGTGTTCTGTGTAACTCGTACCTCGTCCTGGCTGCCTTCACGCAGGTTATAGGTGAGGTTGTTGTGGATGTCGGAGGCAAACACGCTGGCATACTCAGGGTAGAGCTCCAGCACCTCTCTGAGGCCACGAACACTGATGTACTGGAGGTCGCAGTAGGTGAGCGCCTTCACGTCAGCGTTGGTCTTGATCACCTGGTCTGATCCAGGCAGGTCAGACCCAATCAAGTCCCCTTTCCCTAAAAGTCCAGAAGACAAACAATCACTCGCTTGCTCTACTTTATAGCACCTCAAAACAGATACTAAAAACGTATACAGACCTAATATTGCCAGCACCATGCTATCTTTCAGCACCTCCAGTGAGCCGGAGCAGACGAAGTAGTTGGCATGCAGTGCATCACCCTGACGGATCAGGTACTCCCCAGGGACACAAAAGGAGGTTTTTATGTGAAGGGAGAGTGAGCGCAGGCAGCCTCGACTGGCCCCCTTAAAGACCGGCAGCTGGAGGATGTCCTTATTCAGATGCATGGCGATGTCAGCCCGCAGCTCATCAGGGAAGTCGTGCAGGAGCTGTGGGTGTGTGACAGATGTAATGAGGTGTGACACTGATTGTTAATTAGGGAATAGACTGTGTTGCTACCAGTTACCCTCTTTTGAATTTCAATAGGATATCAATTGATGGCGGACAGGCAGCCATGTGTTGTGCAAAATCATGGACGATAACAGCCTCAAAGGGCCGGGAATAAATTTTACAACAGATTTCTTTGTTCAGATGCCATCAAAACATTGCCTTAAAGTTACTTGAGGGTAGATAGCTGCATGTACAAAGGTATTACATGACAGCAACAATGGCAGGGACTCCTACCTCGTTGGCATCTATACCATTGTTGACAGACCATGTGGTCTGGAAGTACTCCAGCATGCGTTGTTTAAGCTGCTGTGGCAGACGGTGGACACGGATGAAGTCCTTCAGGTCCTTCATACGTGTGTGGTAGAGGGACCGTCTTGAGTACATCCGCTGGATGATCGCCGTCACGTTACCGAAGACGACGGCGTGCATCAGTGCTGCATGAGAGACGACAACAAAGAGTAACGATAATATAAAAGCTGAAAACGTATGTAAAATAAAACTTTGTTCTAAAAGCTGTTTCTCTGGCTTTAAACAAGACAGAACATCCATCTCAAAGGTGACTTTTACTTTTCATTCTTTTCAAACACCTGACAAGCTTTAATATAAAATATAATCTTATATTGATCGCTACACTCGGGGCTGTTTATTTGCTTATTGATCCAGAAAGAGGCCACAGTAAACTACAGCTCTGCTTCCATCACTTGTTCTGACAAGTGGTAAAATCTTATCTTCTGGGTTGCTGCACCAATAACTGCCACCTCAGCTCAAATATCTTTTTGGGATATGAAGACAGCAGCAAGCTGCGTCTCAAAGGCCAGCCAAAACCATTCGATCCACTTCCTGCTGAATTCTTTTGCGCTGGCATGCCAAACAGAGGCACCGCTACGCCAGGACGCCAGAGGGAGAGTGTACCCCGGTGTCAGACGTACCGCCAATGAGCATTGTGCAGATGGAGAAGATCTTCTCAGCATCGGTGTTGGCACAGACATTTCCAAAGCCCACACTGGTCAGGCTGCTGAGGGTAAAGTAGAGAGCAGCGATGTAGGAGCTGCGTACCGTCGGGCCGCCCACCGTGCTGTTAACGTAGGGCGAATCCAGACGTTTGCCCAGCTCATGGAGCCACCCTTGATAGAGGAGGAAGAGCAGAACAATGTCCAAAAAGTTATGGTTCTTGTTATCTTTAGGTCTGTTTGTCTTCTGTCAGCTCAGAGCTCGCTGGCAGTGGCAGGAATGTACCGCTGGATCTTGTCTGGGAGACACAAAAGTGTATGTTTGGGTGTGTGTGTGTGTGTGTGTTTGTGTGTGTCTGAAAGAGACCGTCAGCAGTGTCAGGAGGCTGGCATGTTGGTGTGTGACCGGGCTAAATTAGATTGGCTCCTCCAGGAAAAATAAGGCCAAGTCTTAATTAGCAGGTATGACCTAACCTCCCAACAGACAAAATATACACACTGAGGTATGCACAATCATGCACACATTCAGGGACACACACACACACACACTCTCTGCACAGCTGACTGGACTAGATGTTTAGTCTGCTGCACATACAGTATGTCACAGTAATCTGGTTGCTGTATGTGGCTGTTAAAACTCCTGTTTGCAGTCATTTTGGCGGTAATTAAAATCTCAACACGCTCACGTTCTTTGATCCGACACAGGCGGCTGTGGAAATAATAAGAAGAGCTCTCAGATATTACCGAGATAATTCACGGAACAGAAAATCCTGTCAGTTTTTTGATTGTGGGTTTTTACCGGTGTCCCGTTTTTTTAAAAACAGTGACACAAAGAAAACATTAGCGCACCGCTCGCTACCAGCTACTTATTTTTTTTTCCACATCAGCTTTTGATCTGCTTTTCAGACAGTCCTCATTAGAGCAGCAGAGTACGGTGTTCGCCACCATCTCATCTCTGAGCAAAGCCAGACACCCGATAGGTGAGCTATCACTATTTATAGCTGAGTGGGGACAAAAACAAACGTCTACTCGCTCTGTCGGTAAAATGTAGTCTGTGGTGTTTGCTGGAGTTTTTTGCAGGAAGCGAGTGACTTACAGAGCACCTACAATAACAGAGTCAAGTCTGGATAGTCGGCACTGTAGTTAACTTGTGAAATGAGTTGTTTAATAAAATATTAGGCTTTATCACGAGAAAAAGGCAAAATGAATTCATCAGACACTATAGAAGGATGAAAAAGTTACGAAACTAAAATCAGGTGGAGGGTTCAAGACATCTAATTTAATTTGATTTAATTAAAAAATTGAACCTTATGCAGTGTTTTGAGATGAGAATACAATGAGATTTATTTATACGTTAAAAGAGACACATTTCTATCTCTGGTGTAAACATACCTTGACATCTTCAGCAGCAGCCTGCGTTCATTCAGACAGCGTTTTCTCACATTACACTACACGCAGGGCCATTTTAAGTTACATCACAGCAGCTGATGCAATGGGGTCAGTTCAGGTAAACTTCCCCAGTCACAGCCACCTGCTCTGCTCACAGGTTAGGCATCTACAGTAGAAACTATTCACGATTAGGTAATGCAGATCATTGACAGTCATGGCAAAGGGAGACCTACACTCTCTGATGAAGAACTCATGATCACAGCTGAGCTTAGCATGCAGTGTTTCTATAAGTTATTTAGAAGTTAATCCAAATGCTGTTTTGTCACTTTTTGACCCAATTTACCAAAACCTGTGATGTTTTCTACTTGATTCACATGGGATTGTTGTCAAAAGGTGAGTAGTATGCACGTGCAATAAATAATGGCACATGGTGTAAATAAACTCCATTTAGAGAAAGAGGAACTTCTGTTATCCTGACTTTGCATGACGAAAGAACCGACTTCTTTTCTTTTTTTTTGATTTACATTAACTCTATGAACCCACTTACAAGTTTAAAAGGCGTATTACCTTTAAAAAATTGCCAAAATTTGACGCGACAAACAGAGAGAATCATTGCATATTCAACTTTCTGAACTTCTCGTCTGTGATGTGCCATTTTATCTGAAAAAAAATAACCTAGTCTAAGCTTAAAATCACAGCAGGTCATCAAACTCACTTTATTCTACATGTCTCGTTTCAAAAAACATCCAAAAATAAACTGTCAGATTCTGCAAAAAACTAAAAAGAGTCAGCGCCGGTGAAGCAATTAGTGACCCTTCAGCTACACTGATCTGAATAGGAGGCTGTGTTTACGAAGAGCAGGTAGATTTTTGGTAACATCAAAATGTTGTAGATTCCATGTTTCTCAGTTTTTGTAGCATTAAACTTTTGTTTTTCCTTTTATTTTTTTAAATGATTTATGGCGTTTTAATTGCCTCGTGCTGCCCAGAAAGCATTACTGAGTCCTCTCCTGCTGTTTCAATAGAAGTGCCATAATTTACATTTCAATGGAAAAATTAGGCCTCAATGAGTAAAAAATGTCACAGGAGCGAAAACTGCTCCGAGTTCAGAAGGTTAACAGATTCCACTTCAGCAAAGCCTCAGCGTGACTCACCTATGTCCCAGGTCTCATTGGTCTCTATCTCCCTGCGCCCAATCATGTACCAGATGCAAGCCATCCAGTGTGCCAACAGGGCGAACACTGACATTAGTAAGGTCAGCACCATGGCGCTGTACTGAGAGTAGCGGTCAAGCTTCTGAAGCAGACGAAGGAGGCGCAGGAGGCGAACGGTCTTAAGCAGGTGGACCAAGGACGTCTGCAGAGGAATGGGGGACAGAGCGACACAGAAAAGGAGACAAAGTCAGCTTCTCTGCTTTGTTATACACTTTAATCGGCCATATGCTCAGCTGTGAACGTACAAAGCTCAATATCCCAGCTTGGATGGCGCAGGTAATATATTTCTGGGTAAATTGGTACATTAGTGGACCATTATGGCAAGCCACCAGTTTGCCAACAGCCACAGAGGGTGATGGAAAGAAGGAGTTGGTCCAACAGTACTCACCACTGTGATGTTGAAGGCATACAGCAGGTCGAAGGGCAGGGCGGCCACCAGGTCCACAAAGAACCAAGTGGTGGCGTAGTGAATGCAAATGGAGCGCGCCTCGTACACCACCTGGCCTGACTGGCTCACATAGGTGGTGCGGAAGTTCAGGATAATGTCTGCAAGCACAAAGAAATGATAAATGTTTGACTGAAAGGCATTTAAGGGCAAACTGGTGGGAATTGTGATGTGTACTTTAGATTCTAGCAACACACGAAGTGCCATCCACACTTTTGTAAACAACAGGAGCATTAAGCTTGGCCCAGCAAATAAAGAAAACATCAAATAGAGGGATTATGTCATAGTTTAAATGCATCCATATGGATGAGGAGACGTGCCAGACAGATCATCTAACCTCGCTGTCAGAGTGCAGGAAACACATCGCCATCAGACATTTGTGTGTGTGTTGTTGTTTGATGTTGCAAATCCTCATGCAAGCTGCCAGTATTTACAGTGGTTCTCAGATGAATAGATGCAGCAGAAATCAGAAAATACTGAATGACTTATCACAAATAAGAGCTGTAGTGGCGTCTTCCCAAAATGACACTGTGGACACAATCCACCTCTGAAAAATAGACGGACAAGAGCCTCAGAAATGGGAGTTTCTGTGACAGTTCAGACAGTGTGAAGAATACTGAAAATCTTCCTATAATTTTCCACAAAACTGCACGGTGAAGCTAAAAATAGAGAAAAGCAGCCTGACGGATACTGGGAGCACATTCTTTGATCAGCTGGATGTGTAAATTCTTGTATATATTTGTCTTATTATCTTGTTTATTTTTTTAAATTAATATTTATTGTATTTTATTCTTTTTCTTCTGTAGTTATTTTACTTTATTTTATTTTTTAAATTTTCCTATTTCTATTATTCGTGCTAATTCCTAGGGCAACACCAACAGCCGTAACCAAATTCCTTGTATGTTGTGTACGTACTTGGCCATTAAAGCTGATTCTGATTCTGATGAAATTGCCAGGATGACGACAGTGAATGCACAGTCCTGACAGTGAGGCACGGTGGTGGGAGTGTGATGAGATCGGGATGCATGAACGCAAACAGTGTTGAGTAGATGATATTTACAGATGGCACTGTGAATATACCAAAACACTGGCTGACAATTGGACTCCCGTTCTGCAGAGGCACGACTGGAGAGGAATATTTCAGCATGATAACGATCCGAAGCACTCTGCCAAAATCACACAGGAGTTTCTAAAGAGGAAGAAAGTGAACTATGGACCTGGACAAGTATGCTGCCTGAATTGAATCCAACAGAACACCTTTGAGGTATTTTAAAGAAAAAGGTAGAGCAACCCAACCCCTCCAGGAAAGAGAAGCTGAAAAAAAACCTCTCTGAAGAATGACAGATCATCTATCTGGAAATTTGGCATCCTACACGCTGCAGAGGACTCTGAGTCTGCCATTAAAAATAAAGATGAACATGTGAAGAGTGTGGTGAAAAAAAGAAATTCATATTTATAATGAATATGTGGTTCAATTTGGGGCTGCAAGGTGAAGCGGTGGTTAGCACTGTTGCCTCGCAGCTAGAAGATCGCCGGTTCGCGTCCCGGTGAGGACACCCAGGATCTTTCTGTGTGGAGTTTGCATGTTCTCCCCGTGCAGCGTGGGTTCTCTCCGGGTTCTCTAGCTTCCTCCCACAAGGTCCAAAAACATGCTGAGGTTAATTGGTGATTGTAAATTGTCCGTAGGTGTGAATGTGAGTGTGCTTGGTTGTCTGTCTCTAAGTGTAGCCCTGTGATAGACTGGTTACTTGAGTCAGCTGGGATAGACTCCAGCCCCCCACGACCCTAGTGAGGATTAAGTGGTGTATAGATATAATTTATTTTGCCATAAGAACAAACATCCTACTGTTTAACCCTGAAGTAATGCAATTACTGCAAGGTGGAATAATTTCAGATAATTTGACGTTTGCACAGGGGTGGTCTCACTTTTATTATTGTATTTTGTTCACTTAGAGGAGCACATTGAAGTTCAACCACCTCAATTCATCCCTTGGGTGCTTTCTTTTGGAGGATTGTGACCTGGAAAGAGTCCCTCTGATAGACTCCGGACAGCCTAGAAGAACTCCAAAGAGCAACGAGGGGAACTTTCAGGGGAAAAAAAGATGCTCAGATTGTGATTGGTGTCAAAAAACGGACAGATGTTGAAGGAAAATGTCATCAAATTACCACCACAACACTGTCAGTATATATCTAGATAATATAAAGAATGTGTGACTTCTCCATTGGAACAGTTTTGTAACGGTCAATTCAAGTCATTTCGTTCTCAATTTTCTCCTTTCAGGACTCACCTATAATAAAAAGCATTTCCACGGCGATGTCGCTGACGATGGTGGAGCGAGCGGCCGTGACGGCGTCGTCGTGCGGCGTGAAGCTGACGTTGTAGGGCACCGTGACCGCCACGTAGAAGGTCGCCAGGAGAATGAGCCAGTCCCACAGGGCTTTGGACACGCTGTAGTGGAGCAGGATGAAGCGGGACTTCTGCACCGCTGCCACCTTGTACTCGGGTATCGTGGGTTTGTCCATCATGTTCTGCAAGAGAGCAGGTGGATAAAGTGTAAAAATAACCAATACAAGCTTTAATATTTGTGCTGATAGTGGTTTTGTCTGTTAGAAGTGAAATTCCAGAGAAGTCCAAGCTTAAGCAGATAAACATACAAAAGAATCTACAAGAGAAGCTGCATAAATGAATAACTCGACAACCAGATGGTCACGAGGTGGAGCGCTGTGAAAATAAATGATAATCAGATGGACGTGGCAGTGCCAAGATTTTACAGAAACACACGATATAAATGTCAGCGGCCTCTCTTGTGCGCTGACCGCTGCCTGATTCACTACAGTGGGCAACTCGAGTGAAACAGAGATGGCGAAGCTGCTGGTTATCTCGTCTTGACAGCCTCCTATAGGCTGCGATAAGGCTTTTAAATGGCTGTGCAATAACAATACCCAGTGACAGAGATAGACCCGCGGTCAGCGAGCGGGGAAATTTATTACCAAAAATGACGCCTGACAATTTCATACATGGCTTGGCTTCACCCCCTCTAAATGCCATTATAAGTCCTGGGTGGTACAGTGTAATGGTACTTGTGCTATTATAAGGAAACAAGAGAAACCCCAACACTGACTATCCACTGCTGTTATATATATTTTTTTTTAAATTTATGCTTACTCATTGTGCTCTGTTCATTTTTATTGAGAAAATCCAATTACAAAAAGTATGAATTGCCATTGCTGATGAGGTGAGGAGTCCATTCCACACTTAATGAGACGGTGGCTCTCCGAATCGGGGCTGTGCACTTCCCACATAATAGCCTTAACCATGTTTGGGAGACAGGAGGAGAAGCTATTACCTTTGACGGTGCTGAGAGGGGAGCGATAAATGAGCAGTAATCCATCCAGAAACAATGTGGCCACTTCACAAACAGGTGAGGCCAGAAACAAGAAGCTGGATAATGAAGTCTTAACCTGAGATTTCCTTGTGTGCGGCCCTGAAGCCGCCAGGCGGACCCGGAGGAAAATTGACTGGCACCGTTTCAGTAATTGGGAGACAACGGACAACCTTTTCTTGTGCTTCAAAAGGAGAAAACGTACAAGAGGGATGACACACTCCACGGTTTGAATGCGAGGAGGGAAGGGTGTTGAAATTGTTCCCGGTGAAACAACTCTCAAAAGCGGACTGATTATGGCTACTTGACAATTTTCTGGTCAAAAGTGTGCCTCGATCACAGAGTTTCCACAGCTCGGAGACATTTTCGAGACAGCAGTGGAATCAACAGCTGTGGCCACTTTAATGACAGTTCAGGCAATGTCAGCAGAAGCTTGACTGTTGTTTTTTTTTTTCTTCCTTTTTTTAATTTGCCTTACATCACTGAGGTCACCACGTCCACTCGACCTTTGGCACTCGAGGCGGGGCGACCCAGCGCATCCCAGTGATTGGAAAAGAAAAGCCTCGCACTGCGGGGGACACATGGGAACGCATGTCACACAGCTACAGCTGGTCTTCACACATCATTAACTCAAGCCGGAGCCCAGAGCTACTGTTCCAACTACATCTCCCAGCATGCTCTAGGCTGGGAAAAGACAGTCCTTGATGGGGAAGGGATACACATGGTGTACCATGTGACTCCCTTTAAATCTTCAACCACAAAGTCGAGAGCTTCCTCTGAGCAGCAGGAACAGCGAGTACAATTCAGACTATTTCAAATCTGGACTCGTTATCCTGACTTTCAGAGTGTTTATTGCATTTCCGCAGCATTACTTTGCAATATGATCTCCCAATTTTAGCAGTTTTTCTCCTACACTATACTGTATTACATCAAGACACTAAAGATAAAAAGAGAGAGAGAGAGCAAAAACAATAAGAGGGAAAAATAAACTAAATTACAGCCATCTGCACAAGCTGTACGTTCTGCATTTCACAGTCAGACAAAGCAGTATTTGGATCATAACTTAAAAACGGCACTCTTTTTTTTCCCCTCCCCTTCCTCTTTATGTGAAAAGTGGCTCTCCCCTGGGAAATGAAGGAGCATGAAATCAAGTCGGAGTCACTTGTCAGCGCGCCTTGGGTCGGTTACAGTAGCTGATGGGCTGACAGCATCAAAACTGGCAGAACAGACACAAACAACAACTCAGTCAGAGTGTTTGTGCTTTGGTAAGGAACCTTCAGCCAGAGGAAAAAAAACATGTTTTTGAAGAGGTGATGTAGTGAGTGGTAGATTATTTCAAAAGTATGCAACCTCTGCAGTCTGCAAATGTGCAGCCGGCTTCCATTTGTAAGCACTGTGTTATAAATTATTGAAACTTTAAGGAGCTATACTCGCCACCTCTGCTTCTCCGTCCTGTTCATGTTTTTCTTTGACTCCTATTTAAAGATCTATTCATGTGTCTATAGTATGATTTTAAAGCAAAAGGTCCCGCTCCCCGCCTTTCTTCCTTTCGCCTGCCTACAAATAGAGATCACGCCAGAATAGATATGGCCGTCTTGGTGTGGAGGCAGAGGACCACGTTTGTTAGCTAACAGCTGCTAAGACACAGACAGCGAAGGTGGAAGATAGAATGGGAAAAATTTAATAATAGCGTACGGCAGCGGTGGAAGAAGCTTATTGATTCTTTACTTAAGAAGAAAGCGGCGCTACGTAACACTGCCAAAGCTAAAGGCCTGCAATCAAAACACCGTATCGAGAGTAAAAGTCCTCACAGTCGTATTGTTATAAATCAGACGATTGTGTGAATGTGAGAGGAGTCAAAAAGTACAGCATTCAAATTGTGGCTAAGTGCAAGGATAAACTTACAGAAAATGGAAGTCCTTGAGTTAAGCACGAGCACTTAAAAAACAAGTGCTTGTGAAAAATTCAGTATGGAGGTTTGGAGAGGATGGAGGGCTGCGGTATTGGAAGAGAGAGAAGAAGCAGGAGGGGTGATAATTTAAGTAGAAGGAAAACGGGGGGGGAAGAGTGACAGTACGGGGAGAGACAGCAGGATCCAGAGGGATGAAGCCGAAAAAGAGATGAGGTTAGAGTGACAGATGGAGAGAGGGGGGAGAGAGAACGTCGTGAACGCAGCAGAGAAAGAAAATTGTGGTTGGAGTCTGAAAAACTCAGGATGAGGGATGGAGACGGGACCTTGCTTAGCTGTAAGGTTTCTTTTAAGGACTGTAAATTACACATTCTAGTCATTTGGATGCATTTTCAGTTGTTACGGTAGGCTGTAGTGTTCTGTCAAGCCAATGTCATTTAATTCGATATTTAAGAGCTTAGCTACAGTCTAATATCGGCTTATTTGCCTGCAACCGAAGTCTAAAACGGTCAGCCAGTTTTTCTGATATTTTATGTTGTAAAGAGTTATTACAGTGATTTTAAACGATTAGAGTTGCACTAACTAACTAGCTCACGATCACTGTTGCGCTGTTCTACCGTAAGCTCTGATGCCTTTACTTCTGTTACCCAAATGTTTTCCCCTACAGTTTAATGTAACGTAGCTGATTTTAAACATGACCAAACAGCGGTTAACATTTTTTTGGTCTTTTATTTCCTGCTTGCCCCCCATACATGTCGATTTTGTCTCTATTGTTTCACACTGGGGCGGCAAGGTGGCGCAGTTGGTAGCACTGTTGCCTCGCAGCAAGAAGGTCGCCGGTTCGCGGTTCGGTGCCCCCACCGGGATCTTTCTGCGTGGAGTCTCCATGTAGTGTGGGTTCTCTACGGGTTCTCTGGCTTCCTCCAACAAGTCCAAAAATGGATGGAGGTGAATTGGTGATTCTAAATTGTCCGTAGGTGTGAATGTGAGTGTGCTTGGTTGTCTGTCTCTGAGTGTAGCCCTGTGATAGACTGGTTACCTGTCCAGGTGAACCTGCCTTCACCCTGAGTCAGCTGGGATAGACTCCAGCCCCCCATGACCCTAGTGAGGATTAAGCGTTGTGTAGATGATGGATGGACGTTTCACACTGTTGCGAGGTCTCTTCTCAATCATCCATTTAACCCCTAAAAGCTCATCTCTGTGCAGCAAAGTCACACATTTTTTGTTGCTGCCTAGCTCTCATAGCCAACCCTCCTCACTCACTGCAGCTCGAGCACACCGGCTCACCCACAATGCTCTAAACTACACAATGACATGCTGTGATATTAGACTAATTCAGCCATACACGCTCAGTCCATGGTGCTTATTTTGCTAATGAGGTGTCTCTTCTTCTAGCATTTAAAAAGACACCATGTGAACATGTTAACGAGGTATAAAATAAACTGATTTTCACCTGAGGGGGGTTTTTATTATGTAAATATAATTGGCTCAGTAAAGCCAGCCCAGCGGCAAAATGTATGCTGACCTGTCACCCCCTCAGAGTTAACACATTTAATCAGTTTTTAAAGGAAGATGTATCATGCAAGTACAAAAAAAAAATCTCGTCTTTAGCTGGAAAGCATATAACATGAATAAAACTGCAATTTAGTCGTGCATGTTTACAGACATGTCTCTAAGTGTAGCCCTGTGATAGACTAACAATCTGTACCCTGCATTCACCCTGTTGGGATAGACTCCAGCCCCCCACGACCCTCATGAGGATTAAGCGGTGAATAGATAATGGATGGATGGATCTTTACAGACAAATTTCTCAAGCTACAAAATCACGTAACACTTGTCAGCTTTGAGCCTAATTCAGCCTGAAAGCACCACAATGCATAACAAAGTAACAAGCCAGGGCCAAACCAAGAAAAAAATAATAAAATTAAAAACCTACATTTTCTCTTCAGCTCAGTTTTAATTATAAAGCACCGATTCACAACACAGGTCACCTCAGGGCACAAGATAAAGTACAGCAACATGTGCTGTCCTCCCACTTTTTAAATCTTATATTCTCACAATTTACAGAAGAAACTTCACTTCAAATTGATCATCGGTAATATGAGAGAAGAAACAGCCCACGGAGCGCTGCCTCGTACAACACCGACGCCCGAAAAACACACAAAAGCTGGAGGATAACTGACTGCTGTTTGTGCAATCAGATCATCATGTAGCACTTTATGAGTTTTTGCTTCTAATTAACACTCACTGATATGTTTGATTTGCTGCAAATGTATAAATTTGAAATAAACAAAGCTTGAACTGAGGGTAAGATGTGTGTGTGGAGGGGGGTAAAGCCTCGGCATGCAAACGCATTTTATCTCGAGTGAGTCGCATATTATTCTTGCTCTGAATGTCATCTTCATGCAAAGTGCATTGTATCTGTTTAACACTGCTGACTTGTCTGCAGGATAACAGCTTTCCGGAGTCACTGATAGAATCACAAGACGCGGCGCAATGAGCTGTCACAGGCAGAGGAAAACAAAACAACACCCTAAAGTAACATCTTTGATTTTTGTTTTGCATCAAAAACACACCGGTTGCCTCCATTTTTTAACAGGATACACCGCCTCATGCTTGCTCTGGAACTACGCTGCTGCAAATCGCTGCTTATGGTCGTATTTTATGCTGTTTTCATTCCCTTAGGTTACAAATAAACTAGGCTCCTTTATTTATTGTGCATTGAATTCTTTCAAAAGAGGCTCAAATGTTAAAAAAAAAAGTCCAAACTAAAACGCAGTACCTTATCTGTGTTGTGGATTTTGAGCCGGCTGTGTTCAGCGGCCTGCTTATTTTCATACCCACCTATTTTCACTTTCCCGCTGTGTGATTTTTATGTCAAATCGTGAGGTATTGATTCTCTCTCGGCAACTATTTCATCCCTTGTGAAGACGCTCTTGGCATGATCCAGCTTGGAAAGGGAAATTCTAATCTCAGCGGGAATTTATTAAACGCTTTACGGTGGTTATTCTGGTTGTAGAGGTGGAACGGAGGGATAATGGAGGTTGTGGACCGGTGTGAAACTGCAGAGAGCCACCGAGAGACGGTGAGCAGGCTGTGAAAACATTAACCACCGTTGTTGAATTTCATATTCCTACATCTAGCGCGAGAGGGGAAGAGAACCGGTGTTAAAAAAAAAAAATGCAGCCTCATGCCGAGAGCGCTGGCATAAGATCTGAATGATAAATACTGTGCATCTAATTCTGGGTGTGTTGATGTTTGGCCATATGTTTCCTCTCCACAGAGGGCAAGCCGTCACTTACTGTCTGTCCTGATGCATGTGTGAATGTTTTTGCGAAAGGGCATATGTGTGTGTTGAAGCAGATGTGTGTGTGGTCTGAGCGCGCACGGTGCCAGTGAACGCTGCCATCTGTAAGTAGGTGGGATTGTGAAGCAGGGCAGCAGGAGGCTCGGCTGACGGGGGGGAGGAGGCGCAATGATTCCAATGAAGGCACCTGCGGGTCGGATCTGAAAGCAGCAGCAGCAGCAGCAGCAGAGCTTTTTGATTCTGGAAGAGTTAACAGGATGCAGGTCAGCTACACGGAGCAGAGATGTTGTTTTTTTGTTTGTTTTTACTTCTTTTTGTGCAGTTTTGGTGCTTTTTTAAAAACTGAAATGAATGCAAATACGTTCTGTTAAACGTTTACGTGACCTTTTTTGCTCGATTTGTCTGATTAACCTTTTAAGATCCAAAGTTTTCATGTTGCAAAGATAGAAAACAGACAAAAGCGAGGCCACTAACAAGTGTTTGACCTCGCGGGATTCAGTTATTTAAACAACGGATCATCAGAACTGTTCGCAAGTCAGTCCACGGCGTGAAAACACAACTAATCATGTACTTGTATCGACAGTATTAAGTCGATTTCATGTCCTTCGGGGCCATAAATAAAAGCGAAGTCGGTGGTTTATTTATTATTATGAATGCGCAGTTGTAGGAAAATGGAATTAATTCTTTTTTTCACTTCTTGAACATGATGCTACTCTGACTTTCACTCCATGTTTTGCGTTACAAATTGTTAGTCGTGTATAACAAGTCTAGAGTTGGAAGTCACATTTGAGCTGGAAAACTAAAGCTCCTATATGGTGACAATCTATTTGACTGTGTCAGGAGGTGTCAAATAAGATCAGATGTTGCCATTCCTCAAGCCCCCCTACAACTAGACAGCCTCCCAGTTTGACCAGCTAGTAAGAATTCTAGCCAGTTGCAGGTAGAAACTGAGCAACTAATAGTCGTCCCGCTAAACATTTGCATAATTTTACCCCCCGACTGCTTCCAAGGTGAGCTACTCACGATGAACGGCTGCCTCACAGTCCACCGGGTTTATTTACTTTCTTCAGAGCCGTTTCCAAGCTGCTCACCACTCTCACTACACAGGTAAAAATAACGGCTGTGCTGCGAATTAAGGGAGATTTCCATGTTAAATAATCACTCATAGGGGAAGTTAGAAGCGTCAGAAAGTCCTGGTATAAGACAGGTTCATGTGCAGGTGACTATTTACAGATGCAGAGATCGTCTTCTTCCTGCAGGAGGCGGGGGCATTAGCAGCTCAGCGACATTTAAAGCCACAAACACTGAAGCTGGGGTTGTACAGTCATAGTAAAATGAATTATCTTTGTAGGATTTCGAGCTGAAAAATTGAAAGACACATTCTTTGAACACGTGAACCTTCCATTAATTTGCCGACAAGAGGCACAATATAGGTCCTTTAAAGCATGTTTGAATGATAAGAGTGAAGCTCCCAACAGGAAACGTTCCCGTCGGATTCTCATTATGCTTTTGCAGGTTTTAGCGGTGCATGAATCGGTGCTGCCAGAGCTCAGAATTCAGTGTCAGGTGAAGAGGCTTACTGTTAAAATAGTAGAGGCACTTGATGAACAGAGCTACTCTGTTGTAAAAACGTTACCGAGCTACTCTTTCAAATGAACAAGTGCTTCATTTCAGGCACTTAATAGGCGAATGAATCCCTCTAAAAACACACCAGACTGGTTTTTTACCTTCTTCTCAGGGTTAGCTTTTCATTTTTAAATGCCGCCTGAATCAGTCACACACACACACACACGTCCCACAGGTTGTCAACTTTTTAAATAATTAAGCTTTTACCCCTGAAAAAGTTCTGAATTGCTTTTAGCCCTTTGGGGATGAAGCGCCACATTATGAAGGACAGGTTTGAGTACAGACTCAGCTGGTAGCTGAGCCTCTGCAGGGAAGGAGCAGGATTATCCCAAAATGGAGCTCCGCTACAAAAACTGCTCCCATTTGTATCCGAAGGGCAGAAGAGAAACTTGTTTTAATGAATAACCGTTGCTTGGAGTGAAGCCTGGCTTTATGATTCAAAACCTACAAAAGCTTTTGTTATGTAAAAATAAGACACTATAGAAAATAAACGTAGCTGGGGTCTATTTCACTGCAACAAATGGTCGGTACAAAACCACCTGAAAGCCAGGTGAGGGCACTTGCATGCAATAATTACGCTCCTAGCTGTTTGACACGCAATAAAAATGTACATGCAACTATCTCCTGCTACTCTTCAGCTCATCCAGCAGGTTGTATGTTAGACGCAGCATCCTTATGTGGACCTCAGGTAATTTGTGGCAACATGCTGCTGACATAATGGCCCATTACTGGGACCTCCTGCTGGCGAGGCGTTGGCATGTCCAGACAGCCTCCAAAAAGAAAAAACAAGACAAAGAAAGCGATGATGTCGATACATCCAGCTTCTGCACCAGAACTGACAACCATCTTGTGCCTCCAAGCGACCGCCGCTGTCACAGTGACCTTGCTATTGTTTAAATCCAACAACCAAACGCTTGCGTGCTGCAGAAGTGAGATTAGAATCGTTCAAGAGACTTAAAATAGCAAAATTCTGCTTCTTTTACTGAGATAAGCTGCACTCTGGGAAATCTGGGTCAAGACTTCCCCCGTATTGTCTTTCTAAAAACTTATCTTGCAGATAGCAGCATTAATAATTTAAACTGAGGAATGAGAGCATGTCTGAGTATCTCCCGACTGTTTGTTTTCCTGGATCGGGAACACACGGCGGCTGATTGATCAGAGCGGTAGACGTGTACTCACTCCGCCCAGGTTGACCTCTCCTTTGCCTCCTCTGGAGAACTGGCTGGTCAGCTGGTACAACATGGTGCGTCCACGCTTCCTGGCCTCGCTGAAGTGGGAGCTGCTCTTCCTCCTGCGCCTCTTGTCCTCTGAAACTGCATCACAGTAACTCAGATCAGTCAGTCATACCACAAGGTTGGGTTCTAATTTGGTGGGCGACGGAGATAAAGAACACCTGAGGAGAATATTCTGCTGCACTGAAGCCTGACAGAGCGCAGTTACACGTGTAAGACACAAGAACACAACCGCTGACACGTAGTCGACCATTTGATTGCATCACACCAATATGACAGCCTATTTCCCCCGGCTTAGTGTTTGGCATTCGCGGCAGGCTGTTCAGGTTCCACCTGAAGACGCACCGCTGCCCAAATCAAACTCCCCATCGGAAAACATTGTCTGAGCTCAGCCAAACGAACGCCAGCCCAAACAAAACTGGCGGGTAGGATGTGACAGTGATGAACAAGAGCAAACGGAGAAAATGAAAGCTGGGGGCCAGACAATGACCCGCTCGTACATCATGTTCAGAGTAAGCAAATAACGGGAGTTTTTTTTTTTTATTGTTTTCATCACCAGGCTTGTGGCTTACCCTCCTTCCTGCTGTTGTGGTGGCTCTTTCCGTGGGTGTCGGTGATGTCCTTGAATGAGAAGAGGAAGAGAACCATTTCGCCCTTCTCGTTCTTTATGGGCACGATGTCCAACAGACACCAGAAGGCCGCGCCTGTGAACCAAACCGGAAATGTTCATTTAGTGCAGGTTTTCAATCCTGTTGAGAAACTTTTCAGTTGGGGAGCACATTTTTTGTTAAAGAATGGGGCACATTTGAAAAGAACTTATAAATAATACATAACACTGGTTGTTTGTTTATTAACTCCAATGCGTGAATGCCAAACAAGCTGCTTTGAATATTTTAATATGAAACCATGACGATAAATAGTTTCTGTTTTTAACTCGAAATAGCCTCCATCTATGGACGGATTATGGAACAGTGTGTCATGGAAAAGGTCTCCATGCTTTCTACATCGGAGACAGACATCCAGGCTCGATGCAGATGATGCTACATTGTTGTAGTTCATCTTTGTAATCGTTTGCATGTTCATTGTTTTTGTGGTCTTTTTTCTGTCACTGTATGTTTGTTTTTAGTCCCTTTGCAGCCATTCTTTGTGTCTTTATGGTTGACTTTTAGTCTCTGAGGTCATTTCTTGTCTTGCTGTAGTCATTTCACATCTCTTTGCGATTGTTTTATAGCTCTTCGGTCAGCTCGCGTGCCTTCGGGCGCATTGTTTGTCTCTGTCTGATGTTTGATTGACCTTCCAGTAGGAGATGCTGTAAAGTCAAAACTGTCCTTCAGTAGGAAATCACATGCCAGTGGGGACTTGTGCCACCCCTGGCTGCCCCCTCCGGCCCCACCTCTGTAAACGAATCCCCCTTAACGACTTTGTTTTTTTTTTTTTTTTCATGTCACGATCTGTGATTTCACACGTCGCGTCAGCTCTCTCCACGTCTGAACCGCGGCTGCTTGTCATAGCCGTTCTAAAAATACACCTCAAATTAGATGTGGATCATGTTCTGGGGGATTGTGCACAAAGTGAAAGAGCAAGTCAGGGGGTTGGGTATAACAAGTCAGAGAGGGAAGGCGCACCATAGATCCAAGACCTCACCATAACCCAGTATGCTCATTAGCAACTCTGGAGAAACAGCGCTCAGCCACCAAACAGATGTTTCACATCTCCTATAGTGTCCCCAGTGTGTGTGTGTGTGTGTGTGTGTGTGTGTGTGTGTGTGTGTGTGTTGGGCACAGTCGAGGAGAGAGGGGAAGAAAACAAGGCAGACGCTGGTGTTTTAGCACAACATGAAACAAGCAATTTGTATGTTTGTGCTTGCAAGCTGCACACACTCCAGAGGACTGTGTGTGTGTGTGTGTGTGTGTGCACTGGATCCCATCATAACACACCAGTCATAAACAGATGCCATTTAGACTCCGGCTTTAACAGTTTCACTTTCTTTTTCCTCTTATGTGGCTCTTTTATGGTGGCTTTATGTTATTTTTTTGTGGCATATTAAAAGTGATTCAGGCTTATTAGTGCCACACTGTTGCTTACTGTACTGTAAAGAAAAAAAAAAACAAGATTAGAAGCAAATGCATTTAGCCACAGTGCAGATTTGTCAATCCATCTACATAATTAGTCACACACTCTGCAGCTGCAGGTTTCTGTTGAATAAACATAATCCTGCGTGCCAATCAGAGAGGCTTACACCGCCTTGTATGGTCTCCTCTCGTGCATGACATCATATTTTTAGCGCAACACTTTGACAGGAGGATTAGCCAGAAGTTTGAGAGAAGGAGTTAAATTTAAGACACTATACTTCCCGCATTAATAAAAATATGATTGGCTTATGAGTTGACGGCTTGTTACTGTAGGTATAATGAAGGCGGAGGAGCAAAAAGAGCACGCATGGCACCGCTGAACTGTTGGAGTTATGCATGTGTAATTCCACCAGAACGGTCGGCTCTCGTCTAAAAATAAACGTGCTCTTCATGATGTTGAGAACAAAAAAAATGTCAATGTCATCTCTGAACGAACTGGGTACGGCTGCAGTTGGGACCCACTGTACCGTGACAGAAAGGTTACCTGCTGCACAACTTTTTGAATTTTAAAAGCGGTGAAATGTGTCCACAGGTGCTGCATGCTTCGTTGCTATGCACCCACCGTTCTTCTTGTAGAAGTGGACCTCGGCCTGGTACTCCTCTCGGCCCTCCAGAGCCTTCTCCATCTGCTGGGCCACGTGCTCGCTGGTGTCGGCTCCGTACAGGAAGCGGCAGCTGCAGTTCTTCTGCATCACCTCGGTTCTGGTGAAGCCCGTCAGCTCACAGAAGCCGTCCGAGCAGTAGACGATGGGGTAGCCCCGGTGGCCCTGGGCGTTACCCAGCAGGAAGTTACTGTCTGCAGGGGGGGAGAAGGTAAAGAGGCGTTAGAGGTGTAGGAAGATTGTAGCAACAAACTTTACATTTTTTTTAAAACTCAAACCTCTCCAAATGGCAGCAGTAAATAAGGCCTAGCTGGGTGCATCACGCCGTAGCCTGACATTTGGTACACAATCTGTTCCTGCACTAGAATCAAAGTCTGTTTAGCCGTTTGAACTTATGTCAAAGCTTGCACATTAAAAGAAAACATGACTCAGTTTCGAGCGAAATTAATTTCCCCGGGCCATCAGCGTCGGGTTTGTGAACTCGGCTACGTTGGCTGGCGGTGGTCTGGACTGTTGGGGGCAGTTGAAAGAAGATATAAAAAAAAAAAAGCTGACTGGGGTATGAAAAGAGCACAGAGGTGACCGATTGATTCCCACACGGCTCTACATAATTGGATGATGTGAACCCAGAAAGGACTTGACCCTTACATTTAATAGCTGATTGGACTGCAGAGAAGTCCAGGAAAATGGAAAATGAGTCAGTGGAAAGCAAACATAAACACGAAATATGAATGAAAAGTCATGACGCAGAAGCCTTGAGGAGGATTGATCTGAGGCCACACTCGGGTTCATTTTCATAAAACGATGCTCCTCACCTGTTCATTGTGCATTAAGGTGCTGATGTCGTGATGAGTTTATGTGAATGTGGGAAAATTCAATCTGCTTCCATAAACTGACAGAGATGCAGGAGATCCATACGTGTAAATGTCAAATTAAAGCGGAGGAATATTAAATCTGGGGCTTTTCCATGTAAGATTTGCTTTCATTCAGCACCTGCTCTGCCTCTTTTCTCTTCATGCCTTAAGCACCACGGACAGTTCTCTCCCCTCTGCCGCCTTCTCGCTGTATCTTGTTTAGTTCTGTCTGACAGGACACAAACACTCAGCACCAGCTCCCTGTTCTGGGATCTCATCCCAGTAACTCCAGGCTTGCAGCTCTCGCAGACCGCACCTTTTGTTCTGCATACCTACACGTATTAATTTTTGTGATAGGCAGAGTTTGACGTCACGTGTTCCCTCGGTTGCTTAAAGCGAGTGACCTTGATGAGCCAAAGCAGATTCTTGCTGCGGCGTTGCTTCTTTGTTAGGCAAACAATTTAGGTATCTGTCTGCCACGTCTGCTAGCAGAGAGAGCTTTGAAATGCAACACAGCGTAAGCACAGCCTGTTCATCTCTCTGACATTTCTGAATATCATACAGCAGCACACTGTGTGGTGCTAAAACAAGATTAATGCTAACCGAGGGACTTCCAGTGACTTCCATTTTTGTATTTTTGCAATATTTGGTGAAGGAAAAAGAGCCTCGATCGCAGTATTAGCGGATATTGTAGGTGAACCACCACAGAGCATCAGGATCTGTGGCTTCACATGTGACTCTCGTTAGTTTTTGCTTCTTTATTATCGTTAATTTCAGCACGTTTGGCCACATTACTGCATTGATCCATCACTTTTTGCCATCTAGCTCATCCTTCCTGCTAAATAATCATTTGCTCATATTGCTTTCAGCACATTACAGCTGAAGGGTTGTTCTGACAATTACTGTGATTAAGATCATCGCACTAATTTGCATTTGGGATTCATCCTCTTCTCAAATGAAAATCTCTAAATATTACCAATTTATCAAAACATAATTTCTCTCTCTGTCTTTTTTTTTTCTTTCAAGTAAGCCGAGCTGAGGGCCAGATGGTTTGTTACACAGAACCATCTGAGAGTTTGTCTTGGAAACTGTTCGGGAAAAGGGCAGAGCACTTTCAAAAAATATTTGGCAGGTGAGTGGACGAGCCATCTGTCTATCACCGTCTATCGTGGACCAGCTCGCATTGAAAACACAGCCGGAGCTGCCAGTAGTTCCTTACAGGACGCTGACAAACTGTGGATCGGCCACGTGGCCTGGAGCCTGGCGAGGTGGATTCTCATGTGATCCTGCGAGTCTCATGAGAATCCAGCTCAGGTACGAGATCTGTTTACTGCAGACGTGGATCGCAGACTGCAGGTTGTTTGCACGGCAGAGAAGACGCATTGACTCGTATTTATCTATACGTTGGTGTAATTGAGGCAATATTTATGCATGTTTGCTCGCTGAAGTCACTATTGAGGCCTCAGCAAAAACCACTGACATCTCTCTGTTGTTTAACCGAAAACATCAGACTGCAGATTTTCTGAATGCCAAGCAAGAGAGGCAGCCCGCTGACAGACAGGCCGGTCTGAATTCTCCCGATTCCACAGAGAGCGAGCCTAAGAAGGAGGAGTATTAAACAGCTGCTGCCGTGCTTTCCACAATCTAGCACTTTAATTGGCCAGACTGAGCGGAAAGCAGTCCGTAGGGGATGTCTTTTCTGAGCGGTGACAACCTTTCTTGGGTTTGCAGCGAGCAGCAACTAAACTGTCACAGCGGAATTATGGAAAGAGACAGGCATTAGTCTGATCCATCAACAGGCAGAGGAGGTTTCGTAACCGCGCTATGGCTCGCTACTGTTCTCGCTCCCCAGACGTCGACGTGGAGAAACTGTAATATTTCGGTTCCACGGTCTGTTGGAGATCTTTGTGTTTAATAAAAGAGAGGCTCTGTTGTTTTTAATCATACATGAAGGCTTTTTTTTCAAAGGCAAAATCTGAAGACAGAGCGCTTTCTCACATCTAAAATAAAAGTTTGCCCTAGAAACAATGGCTGAACAAGATCGCCTATCCTGTTGGACGAAAGAAAAAAAACAACATGCCCTCTTTTTCATGTTCTATAAATTCCCAACACTCAGTGAGCCAGCAAGTGTCGGAGAGCGACTGCATTCATCTCTGGTTTATGTAATGTTTACCTAAGAATAGGTACGTCTCTACTCAGCATCCTTAAATCGGCCCTTTAAATAGGTCAAGGGCAGGTGTTAGCCATAAATCACCTGGTGAGGATGCATTAAAACCAACGAGCCACGAAGGAGAAACTTTTATGCTGCGTTTGAAGTTTGCCGCTTTACACTGCGGATTAGATTAGTCACTGAAGTTACCTGCGTGATTCAGAGCGTTCTACTCAAGTTGGGATGTCTGGACTCCCCAGGGCTTTGTCAGGTGAATTAAACCGCGTGCCATTTAGTTTTGAGCTTGAGAAAAATGCAGCTGAAGGAACATTTTGGGAAATTTGTTGGGACGCCTATGCAGTAAATGTGGTTATTTTTGCACCGTTTTTTGTACAGATCCAGCAACTCCAGCAATAATGCAACTGGTGCTGGTGGACACATTTCATTTTTTATTTCTTGCCATCCACTTCTTGTAAGTTCCACCGTCATGAGTATCTACAGAGTTGTATCAGTTTTCTCATAGAAAAAAAACGCATTTTCCAAAATGTCAGCCTATTAATATTAGATACTGATGCACGCTCTGTTTCCAAGTGGATGATTTTATATCTTGGAAAGAAGGTCTTTAACCGTAATGTGGTATTTTAAAAACACTCAAGGCTTCCACTTTATTTTCCTCAGTTGCATATTTACTTCTTATCTAATCATTTTGTACGCGACCAATCCGGCAGCCACATGAACCACTTTATAAACTGTTTGTGTTTGTGTGTGTGTGTGTGTGTGTGTGATTGTGTGTGTGTCTGTGACAATGCCTCAATTCTTAGGCTCTAATCCTCTGAGGGATATTGCTTCGAGTGGCCGCTCAGCCGCACCAGCTTCCTTAATTACACATCTGTGCTGACTCGCTACAACTGTAATCTGACATGATGACGCTACATGCTACTGCTAGCAACGAGCAGCCTGCATCGTGTCCATGTCACACGGGTTCTTCTGTGTATATAAAAGACAAGCTGAAGCCCCTGAGGCTTGGCCACTTCCTTAGCAGCTAATTAGCACGCAGTAGCATGTAATTACGGATTTGGGCAGATGGGTGAGAGGAGTGGACTTGCAGGGGAAAAGGTCACTGATTAGTAATTTCATTTTCTGCACTTTTGAGTGACACTCTTAGACCACATGTAGCACCAGACAAAAAAAAAAAAAGAAGCTCATTTTGAGTTTGTTTTTAACAAAACCATCTGTGCTGTTGTGATCCGATTCCCTGCAGTTATGTAGCGCCTTTATCCTGAGAATGGTACAAAGTGCTTTACAACGCTTCACACCCACTCACACCTAAATTCACACACTGATGGAGGCGGAGCTGCCATGTAAGGTGCAGACCTGCACATTAGAAGCAGATTTATTTCAGTGTCTTGCTCAAAAACACCACCATGCCTGGAGCACCTGGGGATCTAACCGCCAACCTTTGCGATTACTGAACAATCACAGTACCATCGGAGCACTTTTTTTTCCTCTCCACAAATGCTCAGATTGAACTTGCGAAACTGAAACCAAGTGGCTTCAAAAGGCGGCAACCACAAAAGAGCTTCGGCTATTCTCTGGCTTCTGTCTGAAGTGTTTTGGTCTCCTCAGCTGCCTATTAGGACCCGCTCATCAGCTGGGTAACAATGAGCTCCGTAAGGTTCAGGCTGACAGTCATCCCTGTCTCTCCTTTGGTTCCTCGGCCGCCTTTTAACGGGAAAGTGTTTAGGGAGAAAATAAACCCGCTTCTTATCTTTGCCTGCAGCTGCCCTGTGGTTACGCTGCCCCACAGGGCGACCGCTGCTGTCAATGTGGAAACGCTGCCGGGGAGGTCGTGTAAAGGAGCTGGGGGAGGTGGGGGGTGGCTGGGAAGGGACAGGAATGTATAGTGTAACAGTAAAACGCTGGAAGGTCTGGTGTTCAGGCTGCGTGACTCCAAAAAAAAAACAAAAAAAAAAACCTGGTGCACAAATACAGAAGTGATGCTGCGTTACCTGAACTCTGACCTCTGATAACTTCCCCACAGAGATCCAAAGGCGATTGTCACATAATAGAAAATCATCACGTGACAGAACACAAAGCCGCGGCGCTTCGATAAGTACGCACACATGCACACGCTTCCTTTGGGGAAACAGGAACGCTGACATTGCCACGAGCCAAACGTTGTGTGTGTCAAAGGTTACTGATTTAACCTGTTCTGACATTCTGCTTACAGTGAGGGGCGGGGGGAAGCCTGTATGAACTACAGACGTCATTTTCTCCGTCCAGGAACTGTTAAATCAAATTCTAGCTAAAATTGCTTTTAAATGTTATTCCTAAGGTCAAGCAGAGTCCAATCGATAGTTATGAACAGGAACAAATTACCCTGAAACCCCCCGATGACAGGAAAATGAGGAATGTGAAGCTTCACAGTAGATAATGACGGTGAGACAGCTTTTATGCTTTAAAAATGATGATACGAACCCTCAGAGTACACAGACAGTCATGCTCTGCACAAAGGCACAGTGAAGGATTGTTTTGCATAGTGGGGAAGTAATCTGAGTAATTATCTGAGCAGGCCGGATCGTAATGATGTTTACATAAATGTACTTTAAAGGGGCTGTCGAGGCACGAGAGCTGAGCTGGAGTGACACGTTTAATAACGTTTTTGGACAGAGTTCGCTCAGTCAGCGGCGGTGCTTTCTTTGGTTTTGCTGATCTGAATTCCTTCTTCACTCAGACTGATGGACTAAATAATCTATATTGTACAGAAAACATGTGACATCATCACTTTACATATTATTTTTTTTTATTCCTCAGCATAAAGCTTGTTGCCTCTAAGCGTATTGTGCTGTCTGCAAATTAGATTTTGACATGTTGGCAGATTTGAGAAAAGCAGAATTCAAAGATTTGATGTAGTGTTATTAAGTTTACGTAACGCGGCATCAAATGATATTTATCAGCTTGTCAAAGTGAACGGTGGTATTCTTATACGGGGACATGCAAATAGCGGTGCTTACATGAATAAGATGCTGCTCTCGATGGTGATTATTGCAAGAAAGCACACATCAGACTATAATTGTGACTTTGTGGCTCCACTTTCTTCTGTTTTGCTGATCTAAAAGCACATTTTGACTTCATATTCCACGACGTATAATTGCTAAAATATGTCACAGGCGTCATATTTGATCTACAAAAAAAGAGTACGTACACTTTGATGTGATGCAACGTTGTCCAATCTAATGTCTGTCTGCACTTTTGGTATTTGTGTTTTAACAGCAGACACTATTGTTTCCAAGACAAATTTCCTTTGGGAGAATAAAGTCCGTCTTATCTGATCTTATCTTGTGATGCGTTTGCAGATTTGGAATAAAAAATAAAACATTTTCCATCAACACGTTACGTGACATCAGTGGATCGTTTTTCACGTAATTAAATTTTGATTAAGGGTTTAACGTTAAGCTTATATTAAAAAATGTTTTTACAGAAACTATCTCGTATGAGGAATTTATCTTTTAAAAATCTGCTAAATCATACCTGGCAGGAAACGATATTTTAGCTTCGAGCTGCAGCTACGTTATCAGCTGCACGGGACAAGAGTGATATACTGACACTTTAAATCCATAAATGTTGATCAAATAAACCTTAAAATACGATTTTATTAAGTGTTTCAAAGCCTCCTTCAGACATGTTTAAGACATGTAAATACTCCTGGTAATACTTTCTGCAGAAACTACATTTGTGTTGACTTTAAGGTGAGTGATGATGTCACATGTAATGTTTGTGCATCTTTAAAATATAAAAACAGCCTTCTTGTGTCCAACTCTGGCCAGCAGAGCTAAAGCATCCAAGCAAAGCAACAAGAACACCGAGCAAAACAAACACTTTAGAGCCAAATTGTTTTCAGGCGAACGTGGAAAAGCACTTCTAGCCGCAGCAGCAGGTTGAAGGCGGTCTGAGGTGACTGAGGGCTGCAGCTGCTCGACCCACAACGCCGCTTGTTTTAAGACACAAGAGACCAGCTGCTTAATAAAAAGTCCTTGATTGCAACGCAAGTTCAAGTGTTTTCTTTTAAACCATCTTTTTCTCAAAGTGTTGGAGCATCATCTATGTCAAGTGGCGGGACCCTGTCACCCGGGCAACAGGAAGGAAGCTATTTTGAGCTGTGGGCACTCTGCCACTCCTCCAGGCACCACAGCCTTATGGTGGCTTCGAGAATGGCTTGGAAATTTCAAGAACTGGCATGTATTTGCAAAGATGTGTGTCCTGCTGCTTCCAACATGCTTTTATCTGTCTTGACTGTTGCTGGAAATCGACATTATTTGAATTATTCCATCACAAAAACGCAGGAGAAAGAATATGCACTCGCTATGAACGCTGACATACAGCGGGTGGAGTTTGTAGTAGCGTAAATGAGCAGCAGGACTGAAATACCACAACATGTGAACGAGGAGGAGTCATGCAGAAGATCACTACATGTTTCTAGATGTTACTGTAAACACCGACTAAGCCTAAAGTTACCGCTTCATGGTCGTATTCCTTCACACATCCATGCCCGTTTGACCTTTTGACCCTTTTGGATATAAAATGTCATCATTTCATCTTTAGAGATGAGACATTTGTGTGAAATCTGGTTGGAATTGGCTCATAAATTCTCCGTTTTATAACCAAAAATGTGTTTCACGAGGTCACAGTGACTTTGACCTTCGACCACCAAAATCTAATCAGTCCATCCTCGAGTCCAAGTGAATGCTGGTGCCAAACTCTTTCCAGGCATTCAAGAGATTTCAAACCAACAGAAGCAAGTTTTGGGCGAAAATATTCACATCAGAAAGGAATTATTTGTATCTAAGGACATTGATGAACAAATGCCGCCATTATTCACTGAGCCTGGAAGCAAAGTGTTTTTCCTCCTCCTGCTCCCTCTGCACTGGGAGGTCAGAGAGAAGGTTCAACCCCTCTGGTGATGGCAAGTAGTCCATGTTTAGCTCAAGGACTCTTCAGCAGAGCAGATGCAACACGGGGGCATAACCCCTGAGCTTCCAGGCTGAACTGTGCAGCACCCGCATCATCTGTGGATTCAGTGCGCGTCTTCTCATCTCTCAGATCTCTGGATTTCTATTTTCAACTCCAGTTAGTGTTCAAACAATTCCCGATAAGCGACGTGTCAGTGCGCCTTAAGATCTTGAGAGACGCTGCGCTTGAAAACCCTGGCTCAAAAGTCAAAGCTGCACACACTAAACACCAGCCGCACAATAATGTCGCCCAGTCCGCTGTGTTTATTTCACCCCGAGTGGCACCGAGAATCACTGCGAGTCAGCCGCTCGCGCTGCAACTAGCTGAGGGAGGACAGACTGAATCGACAAGCGAACAAACACAGACATCCCCGGGGCATTTGTTTACAACGAGCCACAACCTCCCCTGAGGGGGAACCAGGTACAAAACAAGAGAGTCAACCCGAGCAGAGACACAGGCAGTGTTTTCAAATGGCTGCAGCGTTGAAGCTAAGCGTGTGAGACAAACGTGAATGATTTGTGAAGGTCAATTTTTATGCTCGTGAAAGTGCAAACAAACTTTTGTCTACCGGGGGAACCAGCAGCAGCAGACGTGGCTTTAGCTGTGATGTTTGTGGTGACCAGAGAACAGATGTGTGTTGCTCAAGCAGGTGATGAAAACAATGACATTTTGACTCAGGTAGTGGCTCTCACAGAGAAAACACAAAGCAGCAAGTCTGTATGTTCTGTGATGACAATCTTTACTAATTTAGCTTTTTAATAACATTTTAAGTATCAGAAGAGTTGATGAGAAATGAAGGGACAATGGACTCAAACTCCCCAGCCTCCCCGTGTTTCCATTGTACTTACGGGTGCCATCGAAGCGTGTAGCAATGGTGTCCAGAAAGGTGTTCTGCGGGGCCAGGAGGCCCTTCATCACCGGCATCTTGACTCCGATGTGGGACGGCCAACAGCGGGCTGGAGGTCACACCATCCCAGAGGCACGGCAGGTGGCTTCCAGGGGGCCTCAGCGGGTGCGGGAGACTTTGAGGGTGACAGTCCAGTGCCGCTCGCTGGGACGCACATTTACAGTAGGAGCAGCCACCTTTCCCCGAGCGACGCCTCTCTGTAACACAATAGTGCAGGCTGGGGTGATTAAAATAGCTCCCTCCAGCAACGCAGAGGTGCAGCAGAAATTAAAGAGTTGCAATCCCAAAGCAGCTGCTCTGTCAAGCGAGGAAGGAGTTCAAGTCCAGGTGACTCTGAGATCCACAGAGCTTCAGATCCGTCCGCCCAGCTGTTGCTTTGTACGCACCTTTGACTCACAGAGCTGCGAGGAAGTTATCCTGTAAGTCCCGTTTATAAGAGGACCACAAATCTGCGTGACAAACGGTGACAGAGCGCGTGTCGATACCTCTGGCATCCCTAAGCTCAGTGATCTGTCAGGATGCTGTGGCAGAGTAGTTGCATCTTCTTGAGCTTTCTCCCCTCCTCGCTACTCTCTCTCTCTCTCACTGTCTCTCTCTCTCTCTCCGGCTCCCATCCACTCCTGTGATATCCCAGCCAATGAGATGCCTGCATCCTCTGTGGGGACCTGTTTTCATCTGTGGTGGGGGTATATAGACAGAGAGGGAGAGGTGGAGGAAAGAGGGAGGAAGGGAGGGATGCTTTTGGAGCGTCTGACAGCACCATTACACCCCACAAAGCTACTATCAGCACATGGCTTTTGTGTGCACGTCTGCAAATCAAGGAAAGATGGATTACCTGCATGTCGGTCAATGAAGCCTATTGTATTCAGCCGGACTGTGTGCCGTCGCGGTGCTTTGTCACAGGAGTCTAGCTCAGGGGGACATTGTCAAAAATTTTAGAGGTGGTGGGGGAAAAAAAATATTCACATTTATTTTTACTTACATCTCTATGTTGCTAAGCGAAGGGTATAAACACCGCAGCCCTAAAAAAAAACAAAAAAACACCTCATTCCTCGAGTACTGTTGGGTCAGACTTGTTGGTTCTAGTTGGATCTGGTCGCTGTCAACCCCTACAGTATCCTCGTCAGAGAATTAAGGTTCTGGGATAAAAGCCGCTAAGAGCGGATTAAAAGGATAAGCCTGGAGATGTTTTTCATGAGAACTTGATGCTAAACACACCAAACGTAACTCCCTTTGACCCGAGCAAAACTACACAGCTTAAGCCAACGAGGGAAATACCTCTAGAGAGTAAACGAACTCCTCAGCAACGAGTCTCCTTTTCTATTTTCAAAAGCAATTTTTTTATTCAATATCAATCTCATTAGAGTTCCAGTAATTAGGGAAAGATGACCCTTGGCTATTAATTTAATTAATGTGATTGTCATTAAATATTAACTGTTGTGAACTACATCAAGAAACCTGATGATTAGGGGTTATTTTGGGGGCAATCTGTTCTGCGCCTTTGTATATCAGCAAATTAGGTCTGTATGACGGCTGGCAGGAAGCGTCGCATTTCTATATTTAGTAAAAATTTAACATATCTTCAGTGTTTTGGAAGAAGTGTGAGGAAACAGGGAGTTGATTCTGTGGAGCAGTATTGAGCAGCATTCAGGGTCTAAGTTTTACTCCACTGTGAAGCACAATTGCTCCTTTTTTTTTGTTTTGTCACTGTGATTTATATAGTGCTGAAGGATGAAACCAGCAGCTGTATAGATTCGCCCAGAAGCGAGAAGAAAACACAGGCGAGGATCCTGCAACAACAATACATCATTCTGAAATGGTTTATACGCCCAGATTCCAATTAGCAGTCCGGACTATTTTAGCAGCGGTGTTTTCGAATAACTCAAAAAACAGACGCAGTAATAAAATGAAATATCTGTTTCTGTCCCTGCAAAGAGTCTAATCTTCATTTTCAAGACTATGCATCGGATGTAACTTCATGCAAACTGGGAGTCAAGTAAACAACAAAAAAAAAAATGATGAGAAAATAAATGGAAATGTACAAGTTTCTTGTGGGGGTGTTGGTAATCTTGGAAAAGTTGAGCAGATTCAGCAGCCGTGTGGGCGTTTTGCAAGTCAGAAATGGAAGAAAAAGAAAAAAAAAAAAAGATCTTTATGGGGAAAAATAAGTAGAATATCAGTTGTGATCTGACAGCTCTGGCAGCGACGGCGGACCTCTAAGTCGAGAGAATAACCAGGTCAAAGATGCACTGAATGATAATGACTCCTGCTTTATATTCTGGAGGCTGACATTTTAGGGGACAAACACATATGAAAGAAGCTGTTTGTAAAATTAGGAAAACCGAAAGTGCTGATTCTGATCTATTCTGTGTCTGAATAGGGGACAAAGAATCATCATTAACACACTGTCAGTTAGGAGAGAAAATGTGGTTAAAATGCACAATTAAAGCGTCGAGTGGGTTGCAGAGGTGAGCTGAATTTGGAGAAAGAAAAGAGAAGAGAGAGAGAGGGAAGAAAAAAAAGTGAGTGAAAGTAAAAGACAGGCTCGCAGACAGTAACGGAGTATTGTTCCCCCTCTCGGATCCTATTCAAGTCCTGGCAGCCATTCACGGCTTTCTATTTTTAATGGCCTCTCATTGTCCTTTCTTCTTGTAGTTCATCCATCTCTGCTTGTCACTAATAAAGAGGCTAATCCATTAAACATGCTCACTATCTACTCGGCAGTCTAATATGACAGAGTGACGCACAGATGGCCAGGTGAAACATTATCCCAACTACAATTCCCACAATTCTCAGCTCTATGAAGGGGCAGGCATCATGATAAGAGGAAAACTGTCTATTTTTTGGGGGGGAGGTGAAGATTTAAATTAAATGTTTATTAATATTGACAAAAAGGACTCTCATTTAACCATCTTCAATGAAAATCCGCTGCCTTAATCCGGACTTAAACTCCAAGATAGATAAGCTCCACGTCCGGCATCGTTCACTCGGCACGCAACGGCCCTTCGCTCGGTTAAACGCATCCTCCTCGCCTCAGCCAACCCATTGAGAAATCAGGTCTGTCATTCTCAAATCTTGGCTGTTTACAGTGAATTAACTTGTGAGCGAGCAGATGTGGACCCACAAGCTCCGGGTGTTTCTGTAAATCCGGCAGGCACGTGACGGAGACAGACGCCATCTTACTAAACACTAAACCAGAAAAATAAGACACGCTGTAATGAATGAACAAACACAGGGGGAAGCACGAGTTACCAACATGTCGCACTGTGAAACCCCACTAATTAAACTAAAGCTAAAAATATCACCGACAAGCGAATCATCTGCCCATCATTTGGATAGAACTTGTGAAGAAAGGCCTCCCTCCTAACGTGTCTCCCAACGGCTTTCTTCCTGCAAGTTCCATCCAGTAACTCAAAACACGCAAATCATCACTTATGTGGTTATCACCTTATGAAGCCAAAATAAAGCAAGAACAGTGTCAAAGCTCTGCTGAAATGGGACGCTGCTAAAAATATTAGCCCACTTTGTGAACAGAGGGACCTGTAGGAGAGAAGCAACAACACCGAAGAGTAACACAGAGTTTCTAACAAGGGCTTGTTCAGGCTTTGGATGCTTGTTTTCTTCAGCTTAAGAGTTCGGTCAGATTTCTCTGTGAAACACACACAACTCCGTATCAGAAGCTTTAAAGTCAAATTGACAAAATCTACTCCATTTTGTAAGCACTGGCTATACATTCTGTGTGTTTTGATCGGCTGTAATATATTAGTTTTGCTTGGTCAAGATCCAAATATCCTCGTTCGTAATTTGTCAAACCTACTCATGGTGCTTGTGTTTGGTTTAGCATTGTTAGCATTATAGCTTTGCCACCTGCCAGGGACCTGCAGGTACAAGTTAGCCTCAGGGTAACTTTTTTTTAATGTGTATTCATAATAATAGTGGTGTCTATATCACAGAATTCAATAAGGGGGCTGCAAGGTGGCTCGGTGGTTAGCACCGTTGCCTCGCAGGTAGAAGGTCGCCGGTTCGCATCCCGGTGAGGACACCTGGGACCTTTCCCCCGTGGGTTCTCTCTGGGTTCTCCGGCTTCCTCCCACAGTCCAGAAACATGTTGAGGTTAATTGGTGATTCTAAATTGTCCGTAGGTGTGAATGTGAGTGTGCTTGGTTGTCTGTCTCTAAGTGTAGCCCTGTGATAGACTGGTTACCTGTCCAGGTGAACCTGCCTTCATCCTGAGTCAGCTGGGATAGACTCCAGCCCCCCACGACCCTAGTGAGGATTAAGCGGTGGATAGATAATGGATGGATGGAGAATTCAATAAGGATGTTGGGGTTTATCAGTGTCCAATCCTGGTGTCCAAAATGATCAGCTCATCATCAAGCTCTGCAGAAGCCTGATAACGATCCTGATCATTTGAATCAGGTGTGTTGGAAGAAGGAAACATCTAAAACATGCAGGATTGTTGCCCTTGAGGACCAGGATTGGACACCCCTTGTCCATACTCTATAAAATGACTTTAAAACTCCCATTTGCCTGTGATGATGTTTAATGATGTACAATGAGAGGCCACTAACTCAGCTGAAGGCCTCAAGAATCCACTGTTGTAGTTAAAACAAGAAGGTAGTTAACTGCTGACCTGCAGCCTGAATAAAAGCTACTGCTCAAGTCTTAGACATAAGACTAGCTCCCCCTGGTGGTGCTTCACAAATTCCTGCTCCTGGAATCGTGTGAAACCAGCTGATAAGAGACATTTGTGAGGAGTTAAAGCAGGTAGACACTAAAAGTTGACCTCCTGGGGCATCACGATAGCTCACTTGGTTGAGCTGGCGTCCCATGTACAGGGGCTAAAGTCCCCGACGCAGTGGTCGTGAGTTCGAATCCGGCTCATGACACTTTGCTGCAGGTCCTTCCCCCATTCTTCTCCCCAACTTTCCTGTCCCTCTTCACTACACTTTCACAAAAGGCACAAAAGGCCAAAAAATTACAAAAAAAAAAAAGCTGACCTCATGTACACCGCCTGCATTCACAGGAATCATCCAGTACAGTCTACACCGTCTACTGTGTGATGAATCTTACCAGTAATCACGTCTTCTGGTCTGAATCGTCCCACTGCGTTCAAAGCTCTCTGCAGGAGGCTCTGAAGGAAAGCTGCACAATCTGAATATGACAATTCAGGAAGGAGAGCTCGCTGAGATAAAAACAGTTGTGGAGACAAATGTCACGAGCAATTTGGAAAAAAATCTGAATTTCAGCACCAACAAGCGAACTCATAGTGTGACTGCTGTCAACCAAAAGGCACTAAAGAGGCAAAACATACTTTAAAGTGTACATTTTGATAAGTTGAGGATTATGTGAAAACTGTACATTTCTAAATAAGAAGGTTTAGAGAGTTTTTTTTTTTTTCCTGTTAGACTGGCACCTCATTGGAGTTATTTTTAGACATAAATCTTGCCAAATGTCATTTTAATCATCACTGGAGATTGCACTTATGGGATAATGAGAGTGTGGTGTTGGTGTGACCTTCACTAATGCCAGATGGTATCAATTGAAAGGGTAATATTTTAATACTAAGTAGCAATGTGAATGTTTTACAAGCACAACGAACATCAGCGCTAAGATATTCTTTTGCTTTTTCTTTAGTGGGTCAAAAAAAAAAACCAAAACATTCATATGAACCACTTTTTTTTTCCTCCTGAATATCACCCAAGTTGAAACGAGGCAATGAAATGAAACCCTGCTTAGATAAAAACACACTGACTGTTGTTTGTATGTGCTGGAAACTAAAACGGTTTATTTTTATGATACCCAGATGAGGTTCTGAAAAATTTTAGTAAACAAAACAGCAGCTTTTTATAGATAATTGTATAAATATTCTCAAAAATAAAAACAGTAAAATGTACAATTTTAATCATCAAAAATGAATGATGGTGTGTTTTTTTTGTGTTGCTCCCAAAGGCACAATTCATCAACTCATTCCTGAGTAGTTGATAAGACCGGAGACGTTTCGCTTCGTCAGCGCTCACCACAGAGTCCATAAGCTTTTTCAGGAAACGGTTTTTCCCAGGAGGAAATCGGCGTATTCTTTCCTGCGCAGCACGCGGTGCATTTTGAAAGTGTTGGGCGAGGTGTTGGAGAAGGCCATCATCTGCTTACGAAGTTCCTTGAACGCACCGTCCGCCACCAGCTGCACCCTCATTGGTCCGATGCTGCCTTTGATGCGGAAGGATTTGTAGACGGCCGAGTCCTGCTGGAGACAAATGTCCAGCTGGACGGATGGAGAGGAGACGGCAACCAGAGAAAGACAATGAAGAGTGATTTAATGATGAATACATGGTACCAGAATAAAAATAAATGAATAAAAAAATCTAATTTTGGTTCACACTGGGGTCAAGTTAGACTTTTGTTTTCATCATCTTCCTGTTTCTGTTGGACGCCTTTATTTTGTTGTCTCGTCTTCATGTTGTGTTTGTGAGCTCTACTTCCTGTTGTCTTGATCGTTAGCTCTGTCCACCTGATCCCCATCACCTCACATGTGCATTTAATGTTTGAGTCTCCCTTTGTCCTGTACCAGTGTGTCATGTTCACGTACCGTCCCTTGCGTGTTTTTTTTTGTTGTCCAGCAACCTAAAGAGACGTTTTCTTGCTCGACAGAGTTTTTGTGTTGTGTTCTGCATTCTGACTGTGAATAAATTCTGCATTTGGACCCGATACCTGAGTCTTGTCTAATTTACTGATTTAGATAAACCTTTTAAGTTGCAAACACATCTTAGATGGGTTGGTTTGACATAATAATGTTTGTAATTGCCTCAGCTTAATGTTGTGTGTAATAGAAACTCAAAAGTCTGCAGTAGTTGATTTAAAACTAAATTCAAGTTGAGGTAACTTAATAAAATTGTCTTGATGACTTATTTCTTTCACCTTGAGGTCAAGATTTCAAGCTCCTTACCTCTACCGACTAAACATTGGAATAAGTTTTTACACTCGCCAAACTTGTGCTTATTAAGCTTAAAAGTTCATTTAAAATAATGTGGAAATGCTAGTTGGAACTACAAGTAATCAACTTTAAAGTTTGTGTTTATGATGCTAATCTCTAAGCAATTATAATTATCTTTGATTGTAGAGGAATAGCTCATTCATCTAACTCAGTGTAGTGAGTTGGTTGAACATAATTTCATTAGAAGTTGTTTCTACTCAAAAAGATGGATGCAAACTGTTGAGCTATTTTTGTTTGTTGAGCCAAAACATTATATTTTAGAGTTCAGATGTAGTGACAGTCTCAGAATCTCATCCAATGCCAACAACACCAATAATAAACTGCTTAAGCTGCTGAGCTTATGTAGACTATGTAAAAGTTTTTAACCTGCACTCAATCACACTGTTAAACAGACAACACTACTGAAAGATAAAGTATTTCTTGCTTACCATATGTTTACATACTTATTGCAGTATTTTAGTTGTTTATTTGTACATTTCTGGTTGCACTTTATGCTCTGATTTGTGCTGTTTTTTTATGTTAATGTAGTGTAGTGTACATATGTTGATGTATGAGTCTTCTTTTGGCAGTTTTTAAAGCACAGCCGGATATCATCAGGACAAAACATGTACAGCTGCACTGTAAGATGTGAAAAGTTGATCTTAAACGAATCTAGGAAACCGGTTGCATTCAAAAAAGGTAAGTAAATGTAACCATTAGTCTTAAATTCAGTTGACTTCATATCTACCTGCAAAGTTTAATTAAAATTTAGCTGTATTTACTTAATTTTGTGAACTTAAAAATAGCACAACAGTATCATGAATTTGATCTTTCCAAGTGTTAGAAACGTAAATAATAACTGATCAGATTTATATAGCACTTTTCTAGACACTCAAAGTCGCTTTACACAGTCAGTTGTTCATTCACAGTCATCCCGGTGGTGGTAGCTACAGCTGACAGAGGCGTGGCTGCCATTCTGCCCCTCCAACAATCCATTCATACGCAGGCAAGGTGGGTGAAGGGTCTCGCCCAAGGACACAACGACCATGACACAGGGTACAGGGCAGAATCAAACCACCGACCTTCCGATCATTGACCAACTCGCTCTACCACCTGAGCCACAGCCACCCCGTAAAGTTTCTGGAAACTTCTCCTGCACTCCTCTACTGCACATGTGCACTGCTGAGCTCTGTGTTCAGTCCAGGAACAGAACGTTTCAAGTCCAGTTTTCTCAAGTGTACTTAGTTTTATAACTCTTTAAGGAAAAATGAGTTCAAACGCACAGTCCATGAGTTAAATGAAGAAATAAGTAAAGTACACGAATGTGATTCAAGCTAGCCTAGGTATTACCTTTTAGAGTGTATGCATGTGTTGCATGGTGCATGTGACAAATAAAAGTCTAACGTCTTGTTAGTTTCTTCCTCGTGGTTTGACTTACCTTATATCTTTGTTCCTCTGTCAGTCTCCTCACACCTTTCAGCTCTAAAAACACCTGGTAATGAGGGTCTGATCCACCGATTGAATCTCCTGCAACAGCACAATAAAAATAGGAGTTCTTAAACGCAGTTACGGCATCCAAACTCTGCTGTGACAAAAAAGGTATAAGCGAGGACATCTCACCCAAGATGCCGCTCTCAGCACAGCAGTAGTCGACCAGCTGAGCACCCGGCCACTGAGCAACTGCTTTCTTCAAAGCGTCAAGAAACAAGGCCTCCGACACTTTCTCCCCTCGAACGCTCAGCATCTGACCCCGTCTGACAGGAAGCAAGGAGGAAATAGCATGTTGTGCATTTACATCACACTAAACATGATCCCTGCTGTACACACGGTGCTACACAGTACCTGTACTGGAACTCCACAACGGGACACTGGTTGTGGAATCCAACGACTTTCACAATGTCTCCGATGCGATATCTGTAACACAGCGAATACCAGTGTCATTTGTGCAACTCTAGCACACATTCTGTGCACATTAGTGAGTTATAACGTTAGGTCTTAATGGCGTGTCACCCTGTCGGATGGAGCCGGAGCACAAATCTTGATTATCATTCTGTGAGATGCAGCTCATTCTTGATAGAGTGCAGTCAAGTGAAACCACATCACAGCACCAATGACACGAAGCAATTACGCTGCATAATTTTGCTCGTAAAACTTTTTGTTGACAGAGGTTCACTAAATTTGCAATTACCCTTTATATCAGACCGAACAACCCTTTTGACCATGAAGGCCACGAACAACCAGAGAAAAAGTTTGTGCAGGTCTTTGACTAATAGACGGCAATTTAAAAATAGATTATATAGAAAAAGATCAATCATATTAATGCTTAACTAAATTTAAAACATTTCAGGGGTCAGCATGCCCAGCCAAGAGGACGTATTCTAACTATATGACTAATCTGTACAGTTTTTTTTAAACATTTGTTGGAAAAACTGTTTGCTTTCGGTGTTAAAATGTCACCTAAATGTTCCAAACATAAGCCAAAAAAGCTTCAAATCAGATCACAACATGATGTACAAAACAGTCTCAATCTAAAAAAAAAAAGTAGTATTTTACAACATATTCCAATCATATTTCTGTTTATCTGCTCTATACTTCACATTCAGCTGGCATGTCGTATAAAAGTACAGTTAACTTTTCCCTTTGCGAATGAAATCAGACCTGAAAAGTCCTGAAGCGTTTGTGATAACGAGCTCATAGCTGTCTCCCTCCTTCACCTCCTCCATCAGCAGAGTCTGAGGCGTCTCCTCCTCCAGGCTGCTCTCTGGCAGGAACTCGCAGAACATCGAGCGAGGACACAGCAGGTACCGTCTGTTCAGCTCGTGAGGCCACAGGTTCACCCCGATTAGACCTGCAGGGGCCCATATGTACGATTAGAGCAAATGCTGAACATATATGAGGGTCGTGCTTGTAAACACAACAGGTGCCTTTAAAGAGCCTCTTTAGTGAACCTTGTGAACAAGTCCTAAAGGTGTTTTTAATATGCTGGAAGATGCACAGTGAGCGAAATAAGCAGCCTGACTGAGCACATTGGAGTGTACCACATGGATCCAGACAACCATCATTTCACACATAACAAACCTATGAAACCAAATTCCACTAACTTGTGGGGTGAGGCACATTATTAGACGTTTGATAATATAGTCAAGCTAAAGACTCGTGCTACCTGTTACATTCATACTACTAATGTTGTAGAAAAGCAGACAAAATCGCCGTTCTGATACATCAACTTGTAGGTGACCCTGCTCCTTTTCAGAATCAATTTAAACATGTAGCTCTCAATTACTCCATTATTAAAACCTTGTAGCTTTAGAGTGTTTGAGCAGAGTGTAGGTCAGCAGACATGCTTAAGCTGCAGGATATTCATAGATGTGCTCATTCTAAAGCAGGCAAAGACTTACATCTAAGCCATTTTAAAGCATAAATGGATATTTTTCATGGTAAAAAACATCTAAATATGTCATTTAGGTGCACACAGCTTATAGGGGTTTAAGCAGTGCCCAGAGATGAAGATTAAGCACTTCTATTAATGCCATGCTTGCTTATGCCATGCGTTTACTTCCCTGCTCTTCTTTTGAGTTGCAGATGTCAAACGACCTGTAAAATGTGGACATGTGGGTGTCGCATCAATACCGGTTCCTACCTTCAGTGGCAGCGTAGAAGGGCGAGTAGAAAGGCACTCCTTTGCAGTAATTCTCTCGCAGCATTTCCCCGTAGATCTGATTGGAGCCCGAGTCCACCGCCAGCACCAGGTGAAGGTGAGGCCACAGTCGCTTGGCAATCCCCCTGAAGCCCTCCTGGAAGTGGGCCCGGAGCTGAGCGGCCCTCTCTGGGTCTGGCTTCATTAGAGCTTCAAGCCTGGTCCTCACTTGGGGCTCCAGAGACAGAGCGCTGCTGACTTTCCCTCGCTCGATGTCCTCAACAAGCTCCTGCCAACGATCCTGTGGGACGCAGAGCACATCAGGTAGAAATTGCTTTCCTAATCCTGTATTCATGAAACAAATTAACAGAAGCTTTTTGGTCAGTGGGAGCTTGACACCGGACTCAAGATTTCATCCCACTTTGTACAATAATGTCCCAGTGAGGCAGAAAGCAGGCGCGCTGAAGGATGCTGCAGTAAAGTACAGCTCCACCAAATCACGTGAGTGTTGCTACTAGATTAAATTTTACCTCCTAAAAATTTAAGACAACTTTTTAGAAATTAAAATGATGTTTATGTATAAACCTGAATTTCATTAAATCTAAAAATGAAAATGTTTGAATGGATACACATAATACAAACACTGATCTCTCCTTTCAGTAACACTTCACACAACATCTTGCTGATCACATAAAACAGAGAATGACACGACAAAAAAAATATAACAAAGGAGTAAAAAGGAACTCAGCGTAATGTTTTTTTTTAATGACATGTACCTGTAAGGCACTGAAAGCGTAGAACACGGTGGAAGCAAAGTTGGACTCCAGCGTTCCCACACTGGGATCCTTCAGAGCGAACAGGAGGTGCAGGTACAGAGTGTCCTTCTCACTGGGAACCTGAAGAGACAGAGAACATTGTAATCCTTTGGAAATTATTCTACAGAAAAAAAAATAAAAATTACATCTCCCGAAGTGTCACAAGTGTAAAAAGTGTTTAACTTAAAAAAAAAAAACCTTGGAGTGACTTCATCTTTAACAGTGCTTTAATCTTTTCGTTATTTTATCGTGGCTTTATTCGGATATGCATTTTACTCATTGTTTTTATGTCTTATGGGTTTCTATGCCTGATTGCACAGCACTTTGGTTCGATTCATGTTGTACTACACTCCAAAACTCCTCGATAAGATCTGAGGGCTGCACTACGAAGCGAGATTAGTGGGTTAGCGAGGTATGTTGAGCTTAAAGCCAGAGTTTTCACGAAGGTGGCTCTCTTTTTACCTGGCTACATCTCCATGGTAACAGATGCTGTGGAGCTAACCTGGTCGGGAGCAGGTTATGTTCAGAGTTTCAGATTTAAATTAGAGCGTCCCCTTTAACCAGATCGTTTCCTGACTATTATTTATGAGCGACACAGATTCTCAGCTGAAGGAATGTGTTTCATCTGTAAACATGCTGAGTTGTGCATCACTAATATCACTGAATGAAGCTGTGTAGTTACAATATCGCACAGTCGGTGGAGACGGAGACGGAGCGCTCCACACAGGCAGTACTTGGCTGCTGATGCCAGTTTAGGTTGGAGGTCACAGTTCTGTTGCCACCATCAGAGGCGGCAGCGGGAGGTGTGCAGGCTGGTGGTAGATTGCGGGCGAATATAGATCATACATATATCATATCAAGTTCGAATTGACAAAGAAAATTGAAAACCACCTTTGTGATACCAGTAATCTCTGGCTGGGGCTTTTCGGTTTTGTTGATGCAGCGTACACAAAGAAAGCCTTGCTGTGTCAAAGTTGCTTCATAGCACACCCTCTGCTGTTGTACATGCCAGTTACTTGCAGATACATGCAGTCTATCCTTAGACTGTTATTAAAACACTTGCTGTCAGAAGTGGGATTCGAACCCACGCCTCCAGGGGAGACTGCGACCTGAACGCAGCGCCTTAGACCGCTCGGCCATCCTGACTGCAACCATCCACTTTTACGTTGAGTTTTTTCACACCAGGGAGCACATATTAGGGAAAGTGAGCGGATCTGACTGACAGACGGATGATTACACAATTCTTCTTTGCATGAATAATGTTTGGCTGTAAGAGGAGAAGGATAATTTCATCCTTGTGCAAGCGTCGCGAGTTTTATATGACCTCACAAAAGTAGATGTCTTTGCAATGATACTATACGGTAACACTGAGTCTCTCCATCATTGCATTTTGGCGTTGATTTTCCAAGTCTCTAGGAGTCTACTGTTGTAATAAATGTACTTTATAAATAAATCTGACTTGCACAAAAACAAAGAAGTGACTTGTTGGTCATACCTCGAAGGCAGGAGCTGGAGTTGTGTAAAGGTTGAGCATGTGGCGGGAGGAGGCTGGCGTGGAGGAGTTTGGTCCGATGGGAATGCCGGCCTCAGACTGGCGAAAAATAGGGGTGTAGAAAAACTTGGTGGTGCGTTGAAGGCTGTCGGTCGCTGGGAATGCCTGCCGCATTGCTTCTAAACACACGGCCACTCCCTGATGGAAACACATTGGTTTTAACATTCACACGCACAAGACAAAAGCAATAACCAGGAAAAACACATCATCATCATCATCATCATCAAGCAGCAGCATCACCTGCAGGAAGAACTCAGAGTTGGTGTCTTTGGTGCTGAGCAGCATGGAGCTCCGTCCCGACGTCCCTGAGGTCATGGCCAGAATCAGCGGTTTCTCAGCGATAATCACGTTCTCCTCGCCGACAGCGATTCGCCTGATGAGGTCGTGATAGTGTTCGTATGTGGTGATGGGGTGACGCGCCCGGAAGCCATCACTGTCTGAAATATAGAAATCAACACACAGTTTTTAGGGTTTTTACCAAGTCAGGACTGTTGTTATAAACCATTTCTCCTCATCTTTTAAATTAACTTTGAAGTAAAATGATCAAACAGTTCCCAGTCCCAGCATCACAACTATGATGACTTTCTACGTTTTGTCCCATGTGACTGTAAACTCATGTCTGGGTTTCAGACATTAGATAGATTAGATAGAACTTTATTGATCCCTTTGGTAGGGTGCCTCAGGGAAATTGTTGACATTTGGTTAAACGAAACAAATCATATCGAAACATCACTCCAGGCTTCAAGAAGTTATCAGTGTTTCATATTTCTTTAAACAAATAAGTTGATTTAGAGAGACAATTAAACAGTCGCAAAAAATAAATGCATGGAGAGCTAAATTTTAAGAGCTAAAGTGCTAAATTATATGAAAAAGATTCCTCTAGCAAATTGAACCTGCGTCCTCAGCTAAATCCGGATGTCCTGCAGACATTTCTTTGCTGTGCACTCCGTTTATCCTGAACATACATACATGAATGAAAGGTGTTTTTCCACTGGTTATGCATGTCATTCTCATTACCAAAGCTCCTTGATAAGATCCGCTGTTGTACGTGCCAAATATTCATAGATACATGCTGCCTATGCAGATGAAAACATCTGCTGTCAGAAGTGGGATTCAAACCCACACCTCCAGGGGAGACTGCGACCTGAACGCAGCGCCTTAGACCGCTCGGCCATCCTGACTGCACACTAGCATCCTTACACAGAGTTTTCCAAAAAGTGAGGTGGTCTGATTGATTGATTACTGACATTATTCATTTTCTGATTAATGTTTAGCTGTAAGAGGATAAGGACAATTTCAACCTTGTGCAGGGGTCACAAGTTTTATCAGACTTCACAAAAGCAGATCTCTTTGCAATGGCACTGTACAGTAATACTGTGCCTCTCCATCATTGCATTTTGGCATTGATTTTTCAAGTCTTAAAGTCTACTGAAGGGATGGAACAACATTCTTCCACAAGATATTCGTTCATTTAGTGTTTTGATGATGGTGGTGGAGAACACTGTCTAACATGTTGGCCCAACATCTCTCATAAGTGTTCAACTGGGTTGAAATCTGGAGATTGTTTCCATTCAGAATCCCTTCTTGTCCTATTGATGTCATCCTAGAAGAGACCACTCCCATCAGGACAGACATTTTTCATCCGAGAATAAAGGTGATCACTCACAACAACTTTGTACTGATTTGCAGTAAATAATTCCCTGTAAGGAGACAAAGGGATCCAAACATCTCTACAGTTCAACAGATCCACCTGATCCCCTCTGTAGAGGTCAGTGGTCCAGGTTTTCCTTTAATTTGTCACCATCTGTACACAGTATGTACACCATACATAACGTTACATCACAGTTTCTCAGGAGTGAAATCTGCTGGTTTTCCACACACAGATTGTCAGATTACAAACGTGCACACGTCTACTGATCATGACCACTGTCTGTTTCTGTCGTTACCTTTAATTGAGCTGAAGTCGTACTCTCTTCCATAACATGTGTTGGCGTTTTTACGCAGACGCTTCAGCAGAGTCTCTTCTTGAACCTGCTTCACCTTGAGCGTGTCGGCTTCGAGTTTCCGTCTCTGCCGTCTGCCCAGCCAGCCCACAGCCTTCACGGCAAGATACTGGCTGAACAGGCTGCCCAACGTGCGGTTCCCACCCTTCATCTTCGAGCTCATGTCCCTCCAAATGAGCGCCATCCCGGCCAAGGAGCAGACACCGACGGCGGTGGGCAGCGGGGACGGCATGGCTGGAGCCAAGAGCCGGGGTTACACAAGAAACACAAAAGGCACAGAGGAGACAGATGGGGGCGCTGTTAGACAACATCACACCGTTATCCGTTTCATCTGCTGTCAGTACAGACAACCTGCACACCACTGTCTCAGCAGGATACAGTTGAAACCACGTCTGCTCATCTTCATCCTGTTCAACACACGTACCTTTTCCATTGATGGCGACAGCGATCGACAAAACCGCAAAACAAAGCGGTACTGCTACGCGAAACCACGAGAACTTCATCTAGAGAAACTATGTGATGTGACGTTCCTGTTGTTATAACAGTTTTCAAACGGAATATTGTTTAAGAGTCATTTATTCGCCAAAAAGAAGAGCATTAACTTTTTCCTGTCACACTCGTCTGTGCTGCTTCCGTGTTTGGGTCGGAGTCCGTTGCGCTGATTGGCTGACTGAACGATGACGCAACAGTCTACGCCACACGTCCGAAAAAATAAAAAAAAATAAAATTAGTCGTTTAAACAAAATTCTGCATTCACAGAAGTCGAATTTAAAAAGCCAGCCTCATAAGTTAAATGTCTCATTAAAGCCGTACATGTCATCTACTGCTCACTGCGCTATTAACAATGGTTTTGTTTTTAACTGGATTTTTCATCTTCTTTAACTGCATTACTCCTGTAGCGGCAATCTACTTACAAAACAATGCCACTTGAGGGATTCTGGAGGCATTTCCAACACGTGATGGTGCGTAAAAACGAGGTCCGCCATGGATGTGCGTAACGTAACTTGCAAATCTTAAAAAAAAAAAAAACAACAAAAAAAAAACCTACACAAGGCGGTGTGCCGAACGACTTAAAATGAGCTCAGACACAAAAAGACAAAAAATATTATAACACCCATTCAGACGGTCACACACACAGGCACGGAAAACTGTGTGGCTTCCCCTGGCTCAAATTCGTGACACTGATCACCTGTGCTTCACTCATCAAACCTCTGCCTGGTTGATTGCTACCTACGCCCACAGGTGCGCAGGTAACCCGAGCAAACAAGTTCCTCAAAGACATACACACTCATAAATACAACATATACACGCAGTATAAATCTAAATTGACTAAAACAACTACCGTGATTTACATGGACTTATACACAACTTGCACGCACAAGACATTTTTTGAGTTTCTTTAAATAGTACCTTGTTGCTGTAAACACTTATCCGTGTAAAAGCTGGAAAAATAAAAATAAGACCTTGCTCTTAATACGTTTTTGTGCATCACTCTGAGTCAACTTATTCTGAATCCCAACCTGAACCACTGCGGTGTACCACATACCTGTTGAACTGTATTTTTTTTTTATTATTAATAACTGTATTTTTGCTGGCCCTGCGATGGACTGGCGACCTGTCCAGGGTGTCCCCTGCCTTCGCCCTAAGTCGGCTGGGATAGGCTCCAGCCCCCCCGCGACCCTAGTGAGGATTAAGCGGTGTACAGATAATGGATGGATGGATGTATTTTTGCTCTGAACTTTGGCTCACTTTAATTTTGCACTAAAACTCTGCTTCAACCTGCTATTTTATTTAAACACTATCTCCTTGTTTAGATATGTATGTTTTATGTAACTGCTTGAAAGCAAAGAGTCGAATTCGCTTTATGTGTTCACATCTTTGGCCAAGAAAGCTGATTCTGATGTTAAAATGAAACAGGTCATTAGAAGTTATTTCCTAAAGCCACTTTCATCCTGGTTATGAATTTTTATTTCCTCTCCACATCCATATTGTTCCTACAGAGGTTTAAACACACCTGTTCATCAATCAGTCTATTAGCTATTTTAACATTTGTCACCAGAACCAGACCAGTTCATGTGTACAGCTGACAGTAGGACTTTCAGTTGCACACTTGTCATTTCTGCACTCTGTTGGATGCTGCAAGTGTAAGACTGTATGAACAGAGACACAGGATCTGTGTATGTGCTGCTGATCAGCTGTTACACATGTCAACTTGTCACTTAAGAACTGCTGCTGCAACCAATTTAAAAATGTTTTCTGTCAGAAGTGGGATTCGAACCCACGCCTCCAGGGGAGACTGCGACCTGAACGCAGCGCCTTAGACCGCTCGGCCATCCTGACTCCAATTAGCTACAATTACATTGACTTTTTCCACAACCTGCTTCTTCGGTTAAATCCGACTCTCCTGTAGACATTCTTTGCTGTGCATCCTGTTTATACATAGATGAAAGAAGGGTGTTCTTCCACAGGTTACATATGTCATACTTATTACCAAAACTCCTAGATAAGATCCGCTGTTAAACGTGCCAAATATTCGTTGATACATGCGCCGGAGATTCAGCTTCAAACGGACCATCATTACTGAAAAGTCTTGCTGTCAGAAGTGGGATTCGAACCCACGCCTCCAGGGGAGACTGCGACCTGAACGCAGCGCCTTAGACCGCTCGGCCATCCTGACTGCAATGTTGCATTCACAGCCATGAAGATAGTGGGAAATACCATCGTGACAGCAAACCTTTGAAAGATAATCGTAAAACCACTGACTGCCTGAGGAGCAAAGGTCTGCAAAATCTGTCTTCTTTAAAATCACTTCTTAAAGCTTTGTTTTGCTCTTGACTTGCCTTTCTGTGATGTCGTTTCTTGCAAACTGTTTTTTTCACCATGTTTGTCAAAAGAGAAGAACGCAGAGGAGAGTCAACAACAATGAAAACTTGATTAATATTATTATCTGTTTAAAAAAAACAAACATCAACAATAAGTCCTAAACTGTAAACGGTGTTGGCTTTATTTAATCCTAACAGTGAAATACTCCTTGTGTGCTAATATTAGAACACTCATCTGTTTAACCATGTCTACTTGCTGAGGTCGACTCAGTTTTTCACATAAGCGAGCTAATATTCAAAAGACTGCATTCTGATAGACTGACAGTTGCACGTTAGTCATTTTTCAACCAATCAGAGGAGAATCGTGACTTTCAACAAGCGCATAATTTTAAGGTCCCACCGAGATTTGAACTCGGATCGCTGGATTCAGAGTCCAGAGTGCTAACCATTACACCATGGAACCACACTGATGAAGCTCAATGCTCCCAATTTCTCCCAAGACGTCATCATTTCTTATCAAAAGTAAGTCATTATCTTTGCCATATTGTTGCGTTCACGGACGTGGTGAGAGTGGGAGATGCCACAATGACTTAGCCAGCTTTGAAAGATGATCTTGAAACTACTGACCGATTGTGTCATAAGCATGTTTCACTAAAGAGAACCAGAATTTAAAGATTTTAAAACAATTAATTGTTTTGTTATTAAGAATTATTTTGAATAATAAATAGTTTGTTTTTTAATGTTGCTCTGAAGTAATCAACACTGATTCCCCATTATTTTTAATTTTAGACAGAGGAGGAGTAAAATACACAACACTGATCTGTGTCAAACAGCTCAGTCTCACAGCTAAAGTTTAAGACAGAGGTTTAGTATTTTAGAATCTGGGGACTGATAATAGTTGACAGAATCAGTGTTTGGCTGCAGGATAGTTTGTCACCAGAATTGAAATACACAACACTGATCCGTGTAAAAGTTGGAAAGATGCAGTTATTTTTACTCCAGCAATGACATCTGACACCACTTCAGCACCAACTGTAGGTTGTTGCCTTTATTCCAATCAATAAATTGGTTGTTTCTACATTTATTTACTAGAACCACAGCAGGTCATGTGCCCCGACAGTCAGTAGAGCTGCAGTTGGAGGCTGTGGTGGAGTTTGTCTGTGCAGAATTTGCGAACGGGCAAACCAGTGCTGACACAGGATCTGTCAGAGGCTTCAGCAGCTGCTCCTGCTGTGATTTGTGTTACAGAAGTCCGACACACACATAACAAATCTGAAAAGTCTTGCTGTCAGAAGTGGGATTCGAACCCACGCCTCCAGGGGAGACTGCAACCTGAACGCAGCGCCTTAGACCGCTCGGCCAGCCTGACTGCTTTCTCACAGTTTCTTAATGGAGTTGTTCATATCAGAGGGCAAATGATTTGGGGTTCTGATGTGGTGTATGTAGAACAGGACAGTATTTGTCTCTAGTAGTGGGTTTATGTTCTAGTGACATTTTTAAGAAACATGCATCACTACGCTGTTAAAGTCCTACGTGAGAGCAGATTATTCAATGTACCCAGAAGAGAAGGATAACTTTAACATTGCAGTGAATTAATCCTCTTAAAAGTCAGGTCCCACCGAGATTTGAACTCGGATCGCTGGATTCAGAGTCCAGAGTGCTAACCATTACACCATGGAACCACACATACATGTCAAGTTGCTGAAAAAAAAAAAAAATCATACTTTCCTACCACCATGACCAGCTACAAAATTATAATAAAGTCTAACACATATTTGTCATCTTGCTTTACATTATTCATTTATTTCTAAATGTCTACACACTGAAACAGTTCATTAAAATTAAGATTCTCTGATTTGTGCCTAAAAACAGGAAGAAAGATTTAAGTAATTGGTTATCAAGCTGCCCTGTCAATGAAATCACTGGGTTTTAAAGAGGCATACATCAAGACACTGTCTCATCAAGTCTAAGTGTTCCAAAGTCAGGTTCCACTGAGATTTGAACTCGGATCGCTGGATTCAGAGTCCAGAGTGCTAACCATTACACCATGGAACCACACTACTCTAACACAACGCTCCCAATGTCTCGCATGACGTCATCATTTATTATCAAACTGAGTCATTATCTTTGCCATCCTGCTGCGTTCACAGACGTGGTGAGAGTGGGAGATGCCACAATGACTTAGCCAGCTTTGAAAGATGATCTTGAAACTACTGACTGATTGTGTCATAAACATGTTTCACAATAGAGAACCAGAATTTAAAGATTTTAAAACAACTCATTGTTTTGTTGTTTTGAATTATTTTGAATAATCAATAGGTTTTTGTTTTTCTGTTGTTCTGTAGTGACTACATTTGACATGAAATGTGAATAAAACAGCTCAGTGTCACAGCTAAAGTTTAAGACAGAGGTTTAGTATTTTAGAATCTGGGGACTGATGACCGTTGACAGATCACGTGTTTGGCTGCTGAATTGGTTGTTTCTACATTTATGACTAGAATCACAGCAGGTCATTTGCCCCGACAGTCAGGAGAGCAGCAGTTGGATGCTGTGGTGGATTTTGTCAGTGCAGAATTTGCTCACGAGCAAACCAGTGCTGACACAGGATCTGTCAGAGGCTTCAGCAGGTGCTCCTGCTGTGATTTGTGTAACAGAAGTCCAAGACACACATAACAAATGTGAAAAGTCTTGCTGTCAGAAGTGGGATTCGAACCCACGCCTCCAGGGGAGACTGCGACCTGAACGCAGCGCCTTAGACCGCTCGGCCATCCTGACTGTAAGCTGTACTGTAACCCTAACCGTCAGGTGAGTATTTTTTGACTGTTGTTG